ATGAAAAGAGGGAATAGCACCAATCACTGATTTAGCCAGAGTGACTCTCCCCGCAAAAGATAAACTTTGATGCTTCCAGCCATCAAGTTTCTTACGAACCCGATCCATTAGATCAGCATAATTTGATTTCAAATTTCGCCCTTGCCTGATAAAAGAGCCCAGATATTTACCAATGCTACTAACTCTTTTGAACCCAGAGAGCGCAGAGATTGCATTTGCAGTTGGATCAGATGTATTGGAAGAGAAATGAATGGTAGACTTATGAACACTTATACTTTGACCAGACATTCTGCAAAAAAGATCTAAACACTCCATTATTACCTGCATTTGCTGCACCGAAGCTTCAGAGAAAAGGACAATATCATCTGCAAACATGAGATGGGAGACTGCTGGACCACCTCTACACACTCTGATCGGTTTCCACACACCACTGCCAACCCTTTGAGCAATAAGATGAGATAGCTTTTCAACACATAAGACAAAGATGTATGGGGATAATGGATCACCTTGTCGAATTCCACGTTCAGGAATAATAGTTTCAGTCAAGCCCCCATTCACAAGCACTTTGAAACTATTAGTTGTGATAGACGCCATAATGAATTCAAACATCCAAGACAGAAGCTGTATTTCAGAGATAACCTTACGAATAAACGACCAATTCAGCTTATCATAGGCTTTCTCTAAATCAATTTTAGTGGCCATAGTACCCATCTTACCTTTAAACTTTGTCATCGAATGGACAATCTCTTTAGCAATAATAATGTTATTCTGCAAGTTTCTGTTTGGGACAAAGCTGGTTTGGTTATCAGAAACCAAAGCTTCCATTACTTCCTTCAGTCTACCCACTATAACTTTACTCATGCCTTTATAAATCACATCGCACAAGGAAATTGACCTGAATTGAGAAACCAACGTAGGCTTATTAACCTTTGGGATAAAGGTAATAATCGTACCATTAATATCAGCAATGGTTTGCGGGTTTTCCAAATAAGCTAGGAAAGCATTCCAGACTTGATCACCTACCAGATTCCAGTTCTTTTGATAAAAAGCAGCTATATACCCATCCTCCCCTGGGGCTTTTGAGCCTTTCATTGTGAAAAAAGCTTTTTTAACTTCCTCCTTAGTAACACTCACCCTTAATTTATCCATGACTTCCTCAGGAACAATAGGTCATCTAGTATTGATCCACTCACGATGACAACTTTCATCTTTGAAAAGATTAATATAAAAATCGCGGATCATCTTAACCAGGCCTTCCTCTTCACGAATCCAACTTCCATTATCATCCTTGAGTTCCACGATTCTACCTCTTTTCCTTCTGACAATAGTCTTTGTATGATAGTATCTCGTGTTTCTGCCACCTTGATTAATCCACTGAGATCGAGACTTTTCATACCATAATAACTCCTCTTGATCAAGGACCTCCTCAAGTTCAGCTTTGATCTTGCACTCCACTTTCTCCAGATAATCTTTATTGTGCTCAGAAATGGCTCTTTGAATACCTTCAAGTCTTCTCATCAACTTATTCTTCCTATGCTTAATATTCCCAAACACCTTCTCATTCCACTCCTTAATGCAAGGGGTAAGAACCTTCAAACAATCAGCAATGTTCCCATGCACGTGCCAATTGTCCTTTAAAAATTGATTGAACAGGATATGGTCCTGCCAAAAGGAATGGAAACAGAAAGGACGATCCTTCCACTCATCTTTTGAAGAAGACAAGGATATAAGAAGGGGGTTATGGTCACTGTTTAACCTAGGAAGGGCTCTAACATGACCCTCCTCAAATGTAACCCTCCATAAATCGTTACTGCAAGCACGATCTAACCGTTTAAAAACTCTATCCATATTCAGGAAACGAGGACTACGCCAAGTAAATCTCGAACCGGAACTATTCAAATCAATCATCTTCAGATCCGTAAGTAAGGAAGCAAATCTGTTACATTTATATAAATCTACCGGGGCACCTCCACGTTTCTCAAAAGGGGATGCGATTTCATTAAAATCATCGGTGATAAGCCAGGGCTCATTCATAGAATCAGCAATCCGACGAAGATCCTGCCAAACGCTACGTCTCACCTCTTCTCTAGGATTGGCGTAAATAAATGTGCATAAGAACGCAACATTATCGGAGAAACAAACTTTCAAATGAACCATTTGCATGTTCTTTTCCAAAATCGTAACATTACAGAACTCCTTGTTCCACAAAACCCAGATCCCTCCCATGAAACCTTGAGCTTCTTCCACAATACAGCTGTTATACCCTGTTCTTTTAATAATCTTTTGAGCTTTCGCACCACTTATTCTAGGTTCAAAAATAGCAGTCAAATCTATTCTGTGTTTTTGGATCATACTAGTTAAGGTTCCCAAAAACCTTTTCTTTGCCGCCCCGCGACAATTCCAAGCCAGCAAAGACATCAATCAACCATAAGGCTTGCAGGTTCCTGGTACCCTGCTGACCCCTTAGCAATCTCAACACTATCTTCATTTGTACCTCCTTTATCAACCTCCATGTGATGCGATAAAATAGACGCATTCGAATGGGTAGTGACCAAAGTCCTATTAGGATCCGGAGCTTTAGGATATCTTAAACCATTATCACTCCCACTTTGGTCCCCCACGTTCTGATCCACTTCCATTGCTGTATTTTGAACAGGAGGCAACACAACTTGCCTATCTACAAGTAACATAGGGGTAGTCAAATGCTGGTTTTGAATTTTAGCAATAGCTTTCTGACGTAGCCCTATATTATTGGCCAAATCCTCTTTTTTTGAAGGCATAGGAACATTTTCAGAGGCTACCCTATCATTTGAGGGTCCCCCAACAAGGATGTACCTATCTGCATGTTCTTCCAATTCAATGCTAGAATGACTCGAGGCATCTTTTCGATTAAAACCTTTTAAACCACTATTAATGATGCCATTATTTTCTACGCTGATGGCTCCCTCATTTCCCCTTGATTTTTGGTCATTAATTACGCTAGGATTATGCCCATGATTAGGCTCCTCATTAATCACTTCCAGCTCAGCTTGATTCAAATCCCCAATCACCATTAAACTGTCATAACGTGATTTTGTATTTACTGCATTTAAAACAGGCTGATATGATTGCACTGATAACTGCTTTGATTGCGCAGTATTCTCCCGGAAATCACGTTGAGTGATTCTTCTTGAAGTCATCGGCGTTCTGCCATCTTGGGTAGCAGCTTGGCTTCTAGGGCGGCGTTGGCGATTAACCACCATCCAAGGGCCAAGACCGTTCCGGTTTTCTTCAACTTTATCAGCTTCACCATCCCCAGAAGGATGAGATTCATTCACCACGATCTGTTCTTAAACAATCTCAGAACAACAATCCTTGCTATGGCCATACTTTCCACAATTGAAACAAATGAGCCATAGACCTTCATATTCTATATGCTTCAAAACTCCCTCAAGAACATACTCTCATTTTAAAGGTTTAGCCAAATCCAGTTCAACACAGATCCTTGCAAAACGACCCCTAGCATGAATGTTTGTAGTCCTATCAATCTTTATTAACTTCCCTATCCAGTTACCCACCCTACGAAAGAAAACTTCATCATAAAATTCCAATGGAATATTAGGAAGGCGGATCCAAGCTGCTATCTTTGATATGCCCTCAGCATTAGGCCTGAAGCCAAGTTCCCACTTAAGTAAGGACAGATAATGACCTAGGACAACCCAAGGGCCTCCACTTAGAGCAAATTCCATGTCTTCATCATCACTAAATTGAACCACATAAAACTCATTCCCAATATCAGTGACGTTCACTTTTCCTTTCCTTCCCCATAGCTCCTCAATCTTTTTCTTCATGAACGAGACACCTGTAGATCTGCCCAGCAACTTAACAATCAAAGCTTTTTCCCACACTCTATGCAAGCATCTTCTTCCTCTCTTAGTGCAACCAAAATGAGTCTTTCCATCCTCTTCCACCCACATCTTTATGCCCCCAAAATTAACGTCTTCTTCCTCAGCTGGTTCACCCTGCAAATTCTCACCTTCAAGAGTATCAGCACCCTCCCCATCATTCTTCTCTCCATTATGACGTTGCAGCATCTCCTTCCATGAAATTCGATCCTCCTCTTGGTCCTTCATCCAGGATTCCTCCCTAGGAACCATTGATACATCATGTGAGAATTTTTCTCCACGATCTTTATTACGTTTATTACTTCGCTTTAGTATGTCTTCCTCCTCCGATGATCGCTCTGGTGGTTCTCTCACAGTTTTCTCCATTATTTTATACAATGCTTTAGTTTATTTTTCGAATATGCATGATGACAGTTCCACATGAATAGGGTGTGAGACTTATTATATCAGACTGATATTATTTTTGGAAATTGTAATATTGGAGAAATTTTTTTAATGAGTGAATTAATTTGGTCATTTCTCCTAAAGTTAACGAAAAATAAAAGATAAAAATGAAAGTTACATTTATTTTTTAAAAAATCAAAATAAACACATACATCATGTAAATATTAGTGTTTTGTTTTTTATTTCTTCCTCAAAGACTATTTTCACTCATTAGTACTGCCTCCCAGTATTCAACGAGATAATATTGTTTATATGGATATAGTAAATGATTTTATCAGAATGAGTTTATTACTTCGAAGTTCGAAACCATATTGGTAGATCTATTAAGAAAACAAAGCTGAGCTTGAATGGCTCAATGTGTTAACTGAAATTATATTAGAAGCATGTACAAAGGGCCAAATATATAGAATGAAAAAAAAACGCACTTTCATTTGACTCGTTAAAAAATTTAATGTATTTTTTTTTGGGTCAAAATTTTAATGTATTTTGTAATCATTGAATGAATAAAATATGATATTTATTTAAAAGAATGTCAGGTTGTTTTTCATATAATATAGTGATTAGTGAACGAATTAAAACAGAATTTGTTTTAAGAATAATGAAAATAAACTGTGGTTTTCACAAATGGGCCTATATATATGAGGCCCATGAACTGCTCTTACACTTTTTAAACCCTCAAACCCTAGTTTCGCATTGTACGTTTGGCGCAGCGAAGCACTCTTAATTCTTCAGTCGTCTCCCATTACCTTTTATTTGGGGGTAACACTGCTTCTTATGAATTATAGTTTCATGGGATCTATAGAAGTTTTATTTGATTTTATTTATTTGAATATTCTTCTTGATTTTGATTTGCCTTCTCCTTTTTAATTGTCTGATTTGTAGTGTAAAAATGTCGCTTGGAGAGACTGCTTGCAGCTACGCAGCTCTCATCCTTCACGATGATCGAATTCCGGTCACTGTATCCTTGTTTCTGCTCTTAGGTTTTATGTTAATGAATTATGTATGAATGTTCGAAATCAAGTTTTAGTTTCACCTTATGTTTTTTTTTTGCATAATTTTTTTTTTCAATTGACGCACTGGATAATAGGAATTGAAGAGAGAAATCTTCTTTTCTGGAGGAAGAAGGTGGGTCTAATGAATGTGTTAACATATATTTGTTTGGAAAAAGTGGGTTTGATATAATTGATGTTTTTTTTCCTTGGGATTCATTTACAATCCATTTAAATACTGGGGAGTGGGATTGAATTTTTTTTTCTAGAACAAAAGATAATGAGTTTGCTGAATGGATTTGTTTGAATACGATGGGTTGTTCCTTAAGTTGTTTTTAATAGGCTGATAAGATCTCTACCTTGTTGAAAAGTGCAAAGGTTGAAGTAGAATCGTATTGGCCCAGCTTATTTGCTAAACTTGCTGAGAAGCGAAATTTTGAGGATTTGATAGCGAATGCTGGAGGCGGTGGGGCTTCAGTTGCTGTTGCAGCCGCCCCAGTTGCTGCTGCAGGTGGTGGCAGTGCTGCTGCCGCCGCTGCTCCTGCTGCCGAGGAGAAGAAAAAGGTATAGAACTCTTTAGTGAAAAAGTTGTTCCTGCTGTTGTTGTTGAACCCTGCCTTCTGGCTGTTGGTTGTCTAATTCACATCTATTTTTGCAATTTTACAGGAAGAACCTCAAGAAGAAAGTGATGATGATATGGGATTTAGCTTGTTTGATTAGTAAACTTCTCATTTTCTATATATTGTGGTCAATTTTGTGGTTATTTAAGGTTACTAACTCTATGGATTATGTAGGTTTTCTTTTTAGTGTTGGTTATTTACCTCGTGATTTTGTAGTGCCATGAACTTCGGAATGTGGGTTTGTCCATTTGAGAATTCAGAGTGCAGAAGTGTTTACATTTTTCTCTTTCCTCCCCATTCCATTTGTCCATTGTTATCTCGTACCCCCTTTATGTCTTAACATGGTTGCTGAACCTGACTTCGATAATTGGTACCGACCCCGTATTTATCTTCTTGATTGGTACACAATGGATCAGAATGGCATGAGAATATGAGATAAGGGTATGGAAAACTTCATCTAATAGAACACCTAATATCATCAAATTAAGCAAATGGCATTAGGTGTTTGTTTTAATGTAAGATCTTATATTAAACTACTTGGTTTTTGTTCTGCTCCTTTGTCTACAATTTTTTTGGTCAATTAACTTAGGGTTAAATGTCGGTCCTGTTACAGAAAAACAAAAAAGTTGTGATGCTGATACATTGATCTTTGTGCTTTCTTTTTCCTTTTTTTTTTTTAAAAAAACGTGGGCCCATCGATTTTTTTGTATCAACAGGAAATGCTTAAGTTTTTCTGCAACATAATTCTCATTTTACCCATTAACTTATGGGATTTATTAATCTCCTTCAATAGAAGATAACTTACCTCATGCATAGAAACAAGTTATGTGGGTCCCACCATTTTTAAAAAATAAAAAAAGAATGGCACAACTTTTTATGTCTCACTAACATGAGATAATTGTCTTCTATAAAAGGAGATAATTTAAACCCTTAACTTATTAGTATTGAGCCCTTTATTTGGTAAGGATTTGCAGAAGAGACCATTTATTGTCACGAAATACGTTGATCAGAAATGTGGCGACTACCAAGTACCATGCATGCAATATTAATAGAGTTTTGATTATAGACACATTGTATGGGTTTCTTATCTATTAAAAAATAATATGAAAATCGAAAGGTTACTTACGGGAGAAAATAACTCTTGTATAACATGAAAGTTGTTTTTCCCATGTTGACTCTTAAACCCATTAAAACGATCTGATGAAATTTTGATATAGCGACGCTGTTGACTCTTGCTGGGGGAGGATAACCCTGGCTTCGTAGGAAATGATAACCGTTTGGTATGAGGCGCATTGGAACTTCACCAGACTAGCAGAATTGTCTCATTGTTTGTAGGGTGCCACCTTTCCGTTTGAATGCGTATCAATTTCTTCTGCATCAAGTTTGATAGATTATACCGAAAGTCTGAAACTTACCAAGTTCACCAACTGTTGAGAAAAACTTCAATGCAAGCACAAAACTCAGTGTTCCTGGGTATCAAAAATAGGGAATTTTTCTTCTTTTTATCTATTTTTTTATATTTTAATTTAAATCCTAAAAAAAATTCTATTTAATAAAAGGAAGCATGAATTCAGTGCTCCCGGTCTATTGGAGTTTTTTTGCTAAGTGACTAGACATTGAGGCAAACACACCGGAGCATCGAGATTATATTGGATTGTGATGCTTGCTCTTCACCATCCCCACCTTCGTCTCTGTTCTATGTCTGCCACGTCCACCCTACCCTCGATCCGAAACGGTAGTGAAAAGCAAGTAAGTTTGTTCAAAGTAGCTTTTGATGCTTAATGAATTTTCGAAATCCAAGTGTGATTTGGAAAATGATTGAAATTAAGTTAATTTGATGTTAACTTGTATTTTTTAACTTCCTAAATTACTATATTAGATTGAGAGCGTAAACCGGTTCTATCAGATTTCTTACTGGAATATATGAGTAAAACTAGACATTACGAATGGGAAACGCAATGCAGCAATGCAAAAGCAATAAATAAATAAATAAAGGAACCAAAACATATGTCAGAGTGCACTCCTGTGCTTCCATTATTTGAATAATTGGATTGTTCCAGTTTTCCAATTTGGCTGCAGAATGCCACTGAAACATAAGAAACACTTCATCAACACAAATATGATGTTAGCAGCTCCACCAAGATGGGCATTATGGCCTGGATGTACAGCATCCAAGGCTCTAGGAAGGTCAACTACCCCATGAGCATGGCCAAATATTTGTAAAGTTTTTTCTAACGACAAGATGTGTTGGTCTAAGTGATTAAATAGAAGCTCCTCTTATGACCACACACAGTTATGATAGGCTTTTTCAGGTCTCCTTATGTATTGACTGAGTATGATGGCAGATATATCATCTTCTCTAATACTATGTACAGAAAAAACTTGTCAGGTGAATCGCAGTTTCATCCTTTGCAAGTGTATAAACTTGTCCGTTTGAAGTGAGAAATACCAGTTCAAAACCTTTTAATTGCACTCATTAATATGAAACTAAGAGACATAAGGAGAATACTAAAAAGAAAGATGACAGTAAACAAAAACAAGTAGCCTGACCTGTAGCTAAATTATGTAGGGTATGACCAACTTTGCAACCTGAACTTTCTGATCGCAAGCATTGAAATTCTTTCACAAACATATTTTCTACGACTACAAGAGAGGAATATTTATAAAGAATTCAACATGGAATATAACAGATCTGTGGTAAAGCCGCAAAAATAAGGAAACAAAAATATTATTCACTAAAAAGGGCCCAACCGGGTTCGAACCGGTGACCTCTTGATCTGCAGTCAAATGCTCTACCACTGAGCTATGGACCCGAATACCTATTTCAGCGATTATTTTAAATAATATCAATGACGTTTGAGATCCATTCTTTAATTATTTATTTTCCTTCCGAGTAATAAAGTTGAGGTTTTAAAATACATCATGTGCGGATTGCCGTGAGGAAAGCTTCTAGAAGTTTATCTAGATGCAGTGCCAGTGCCAAGTTGGCATGTAACAACCATAAAGGATGAGGAGTTCCACTTCCCCTTCAAAATCCTCCATTCCTCCCTGTAGTTATTATTATTATTTTGTTAGATGCCTCTTCATCCTTAATTTCTTTTTATTAAATATATTTTCACATCATTTTTTTTTAACTTTTATAATACTTTCTTATTTCGTTCGTATTCCTTACTCATACTAAATTGTCAATATTCTCCTCAATAGATGTGGGTCTGAACATCAAATATGTTAGTAAGTTACTGAGTTTCTTCAAGTACTAATAGAATTTACTGAACTAAAAGTTAAGTTTTGACTCCAAAATATGGTTTAGGCATGAATTTAAACACTAACCACCATATTTGAAGGAGCCCAAAGTAAAGGAGATATCCCTTAATAAAAGAAGTGACAAAACACGCCTCTATCAATAGCTTAAGGATATTAAAATCACACTGGTGGATTTAACATCACATAACTCAAAACTTTAAGACAACAATTGATGCAATATTTTATTAGTTATACTTTAATGTTAAAAAAAAAATTCATCAACGATTAATTGAAAAAAATTATATGATTTATAAATATTGTACTTTTCATTAACAACTTATTTTTTTAATTTGAATAAAAATTAAAGATGAGAACTTGATTTAAATATACCGTGCCTATTTATGATAGTTTTTTTTTTTTTTTTTTTTTGTAATATTATTTATGATAGTTAACTCAAGTGACAATATAAGTTCTGTGACAAACGTTGTCAAAAGAGTAGGATAACTATCATATCGCTTGATTCAGGATTAATTTTTTATTTATGCAAACCCATTTTCTTAGTCTTATCAATTAATTCGAGTCGAGTCTCTTACCAATATCTTATCAAAGCTATATGCCCAAAATTTGAACTCAAGAATACTAATTAAACTGTAACAATATCATGCCCCTTAATCTACATACTTGGTAATTCATATATCTCTATTTTTTTTTTTGAAGTACATATATTTCTATAGGGTGCGTAAAAAACTTTTACAACGTGAATAAGCCCTATTTAGATTTTGATATTATCACTTCGTCTAGACTATAACGTGGCCTTATTTTTTTTGGTTGAACTATAACGTGGCTTCTGATTCTACTTAAGGATCCATTATTAGAATAATTATTATATGATGATCGACGGGATAGCCTATCCTACACCAAATCCACAATTTTTTTCTATAATAAAAAAATATAAAGTAAGCCTCTCATTTGATTCTTAAGAAAAATGATTTAGGGCTATTGCCAAAAAAAGCTTCGCACAATACACCTCAAAAGAAATTAATCTCATCCAAATAAGTTGGAATATTAAAAAAAATGCATGACTTTCATTAAAATTGAAAAAATACATGAGTACTGTTCAATCAAGGACCGAAAAGCTATGCAGGTAAAAAAAAAAAAACAGCTCTTAGGATCGAAATGAGATTTACTTTTTATGTGACTGTTTGGATAGGTTCAAAAAGTGTTTCAACATGATATAAGAAAAAATCAGAGTAGTATTTTTATTTTTATTTTTGGTACACTAGAGGGGCAAAGCCCCAAAAAAAACAAAGGAAAAACAAACAGAAAAAAAATTCAGAGTAGCATTTGTAGGAAAAGTTAGTTGAGTTTTGGTGTGTGTTTATATTATTGAAAGAAAATGATTTCGTCATAGGTGAAGAGTGAAAGGTGTGTGTTTTGATGAATGATCATAGTCTAGAAAGATTGCTGAAGCCGAAGACGGTGTTTTCCACGTCTCACTCCCTCGTTTCCTCCGCCCCCCTACTTTCCCGTTACATTACATAAACCCCATCTCTCTCTCTCTCTCTCTCTTTCTGAAGTCTGAACCTAAACTTTCTCTCTTCCCTTTCTATTCTCATTGCTTCTTCTGATACCATTACCAATCTCTAACGACCACGATACAATGTCTTTCTCTGCAACCAAGGTTGCTCAACCTCTCTCTCTCAGATCCAATGACAATTCCATGTCTTTCGATCCATTCAGACCCTCCTTCTCTTTCCTTGGATCCACTCACAAGCTTCGCTTCAATGCTCCTATTAAGGTATCTCCTCCTCACAACCGTCGTTCCCCCGTCGTCGCTGTCTCCGATGTTGTCAAGGAGAAGAAGCTCAAATCAACGGCCAATCTGGTACCCCTTTTGCCTCTCTTTTTTTTAATTTTTTTTTTAATACGAATTATCTCTCCCTTTCTACGAATAATTATTAAGAAGAAGAGTTCATTTGTTCAATATAGCGGATGGGTTTCTGAGAAAAAAAGAAAGAAAGAAAAAACTCAACTTTTCATTTAATTCAACCCAATTAGTTTATAAGCTGCACGATTCAATATTCTCTTTCACATTTATAGATTCTTCACAAGCTGATGATATAGATTGTTTGGATTTTGTGTGATACGTTAGAAGAGAAGAGCTCTTCTTATGCTACCAGCCCAGTTATCTTATCAGATTCTAGAAAATATTGTCTGCTATTTAAGTTTGTGGCTCACGTTTGGGAATAAGTGTTTGAGGCTATTGTTTTTAATTTGATTTTTGTGTGCAGCTTATTACGAAGCAGGAAGGCTTGGAGCTCTATGAAGACATGGTATTAGGCAGGTCCTTTGAAGACATGTGTGCCCAGATGTATTATAGAGGCAAAATGTTTGGTTTCGTTCACTTGTACAATGGCCAAGAAGCTGTGTCAACTGGATTCATCAAGCTTCTCAAGAAAGAAGACTCCGTAGTGAGCACCTACCGGGACCATGTTCATGCACTGAGTAAGGGGGTCTCAGCACGTGCTGTGATGAGTGAGCTCTTTGGAAAGGCCACAGGTTGCTGCCGTGGTCAAGGTGGATCAATGCATATGTTCTCAAAGGAGCACAATTTGATTGGCGGGTTTGCTTTCATTGGTGAAGGAATTCCTGTGGCTACTGGGGCAGCATTTTCCAGTAAGTATAGAAGGGAGGTATTGAAAGAGGCAGATGCTGATTATGTGACATTGGCATTTTTTGGAGATGGAACATGTAATAATGGGCAGTTCTTTGAATGCCTAAACATGGCAGCTTTATGGAAATTGCCAATTGTGTTTGTGGTGGAAAACAATTTGTGGGCCATTGGGATGTCACATCTCAGGGCAACTTCAGATCCTCAGATATGGAAGAAAGGGCCAGCATTTGGAATGCCAGGGGTTCATGTCGATGGGATGGACGTTTTGAAGGTCAGAGAGGTGGCAAAGGAGGCGATTGGAAGAGCCAGACGAGGAGAGGGACCAACTTTAGTAGAATGTGAGACCTATAGATTTAGAGGACATTCATTGGCTGATCCTGATGAGCTTCGTGACCCTGGTGAGCATTTACAATTTTACATTATTCTTTCTTTTCTTAGAATCTGTTTCAACTATTTTGTTAATTCTAAAGTAAATTATGTTGCTGTCCCTTTGCATTTGATGGTATCTTCAGTTGCTTCATTATACTTTTATTGGTCATATAGTTTGCCGTGCATTAACTTCCTAGCTTCCTTGGAATTTTATTAATTTTTGGATCACTTTTCTTTGCATGTTGGTTAGTGACTATGTTTTGATGTTAAGAATAAGACAATTTATTTGGATTATTGACTAGCATTCTATATAACGGATGCCAACAAAGTTAGAAAATATAAATCTTGCATCTTAAAGTGGTTGAACTTGTAATTGTGCACTCTAAACCTACTAAGTACATTGGAAGAATCATGCCAACAGGATAGACAGTTTAAGTTTTAATCGGTAAATGAAGATTTCTCTAGCCTAAACTACAAATTTCTTAAGCTTGAGCTATTGTCCTCAAATTTGGAATGATTTAAGAAAAAACTTGGTTGAGGTTTGGTTCACTATGAGACATTTTGATCCCTAAGCTACGCTCAATACTTCCCTTTATCAATTTGGTTTTTCATAAATTAACATATTTCAGCATGTGGACTGCAAGTACAAAATATCATGGCGCCGGATCAACATCCCAGTTGAAATATGTAAATGAGGATAAAAGTCTATGGTCTGATTAACATTTATCAACATTTTTCGTAAAATAAGCTTTCAATGCTTATTTTGATTATTCTGATAGTTTGATTTCAGATGTTTTGGCAGGGTATTTTTCTGTGTTTCCATGTATTAGTAATGTGAGTTTATTTACTTTTACCGTGTTCTTCTAATTCAAATTACACTCTGAAGGTTTTAGTTGCTTAATTACTGTATTGCCTAGCATGTTCATCCTTTTTAAGATGCCCTGCTAAATCTATAAATCTGTGTTTTCTGTGTGTGTTTAACTATGTTATTTTTACTGCAACAGTAATCAGTTGTGGACAACTGTGTTACTAATTTCAAGAAGACCATGAATTTTCACGTCTTATTTTTCTTTAAGTCTTCTATTTGTGTCTGCCATGTTTGAAATAATTATTCATCGTCTGTTTCTGCTTTGGCAGCTGAGAAGGCACACTATGCTGGTAGGGATCCCATCTCTGCACTGAAGAAATACATGATTGAGAACGATTTAGCCAATGAACAGGAGTTCAAGACCATAGAGAAGAAGATTGATGAGGTCCTTGAGGAAGCTGTTGAGTTTGCAGATGAGAGCCCTCTTCCTCCCCGCAGCCAGCTTCTGGAGAATGTCTTTGCTGATCCAAAAGGTTTTGGAATTGGACCTGATGGAAAGTACAGATGTGAGGACCCAAAATTCACTCAAGGCACTGCTCATGTCTAATCTTTTCAAGTATGACATTTATCCGCTTGGAGCTTTCAGTGTTGGATCCATGTTCTCTCTCATTCATATACTTACTAGAATTAAATGTTACTCACAAAATGTTTTACCCTTTATAAAATATAAGCAGGATTTGTTCTTTAGGTTGTTTTTGTTTTTTCTAATGTTATAATTATCATTGTTTGTGGAACTAGTGTCAACAATGACAATCCCTAAAGGTTGATTGCCTTGCTTTGCAGATTTCATAGCCTCTATGCACTGTAAAATTTTAATCCTGCTTTTGCTGTGTCAGCTCATGTACTTCTGAGTTGTTACAAATATGACAGCCACAAGATTAAGGGGTAATTAAGACCCATACTTCTAGTGGACTTTTCTAGTAATTTGTAGAGGAGGATCTTGACATAAAGTCTGACTCGTCCTCTTGGTTTAGTCATCTCTAATCCTTCACTCCATTTGTTACAAGTTACAACTGTCTTTGCAAATTACTCATCACTAGCGTAAATAAGGTGGCTTACGATTATCAAATTAGTTTTTACATAGAGGATTGCACAGGTCCTATATATGCTCGTGATAATTTGATTGCGAATAATTGAATTTATTTTTTCGGACATCACTCGCGTATCTAGAAGGAATTTATTTTTCCGGACATCACTACTAGTACACAGTATATTGCAAATAACTTTTCTACATTAATTGTATAAAAGTAATGATTTAGTATTTATCTTTTTAAAGAAAATAAAATTACGTCATTTTAAGTAAAAGAAAAATATAAAAAACGAAAATAGTGGGAAATGAAGTGAATATTTTTTTTTAAAATTTAAAATAAAATAAAAAATGCTAAATTATGTTTATTTTAATAAATTATGACTTTTTTATATATCGTTTGAAATAATAAATATTTTTCCCTAAAAATTAGGGAAGAGATTATAGTTACTTCTAAATCTTAATCGTTGATTTTTCTCAATTTAATAGTTATAATTTATTAGAATTAATATTTAATTAATAAATGTGACTCCATAAATTATAACCGTTAGATTGACAGAAATCAATAATTAAGATTTAATAATAACACATAATAAGAAAAATAATAATAATAACTATAGCCTCTTCCAAAAGTTAAACCTTTTTTTAATTATATTATTTTTTGAGACAAAATGAAAACCTATAATACATTCATTTGCAAACCTTCTCAGTAGGACTTTCGGTAAAGTTGAGGAAAACATGGCGGCTAGTTCTACTCTGTCTCTCTGCTTCACCTTACCTTCTTTGTCACTGTTATTCAGGCACAAGCCCCAATTGTTTGCGTGTTCAGCGAGGCCATTTTCTTCTTTGTGTCTTGTTACGGGGCGCAGCTTCAAGGCTAGGGATTCCACGACCATAGCGGCGGAGATTGTGGATGAAGAAGGGGTTGGAGTTGGACAACATGTGGAACGATGGGGCAAGATGGAAAAAGCCACCGAAGTGTACGTGTTCAACCTTCCAAGAAGCTGTGACACAGAACAACTACTTCATATGTTCAAGCCTCACGGAACCATTCTATCTGCAGAGGTTTATTTCTTCTATCTCTTTTCCCCCTAAAATTTCTCTTATTTGCTTATTCAACATCATTTAATTTATTTATTTATATTGTGTTTTGTTGTCGTGAAACTTTTTAATTTGTTTATAAAAATCAGAGCACAAGCTTAAAATACTGTAATAAAGCTCAAAATTTTCTACTAGTATTGTAGAGATTAATTGCTTCTTCCATATATTTTTCTTTTTCATTATTAAACAAAGTATTCCAATTGTCATAAATTTATCATCATTATAATCTGAATCAGCAATGCAGTGAGATGTGATGTGATCTTCACCAGACCTTGTGTTTATGCTTAATTGCTGTGCTGCAGATTTGCCGGAATGAGGAGACTGGTGAAAGTAGAGGGAGTGCTTATGTCACAATGGGGTCTATTAACTCTGCAAAAAACGCAGTTGCTGCATTGGATGGATTGGTAAGTGAGTGTGAAACGGGAATGGATCCTCTCACGTGGAAAAGTGGTCATGTTATTTGATCACAACCACTTATTGATGATGAGATAAGAGAGAGAAAAATGTATAATTTAATGAGTGGTTGTGATCAAATAACATGACCACATGACCACTTTTCCACATGAGAGCATACACTCCCGTGTGAAATTGGCTCCCTGCATCTATTTAAACAATGTTCCCTGCCAATTTGATTTGAAATTTTGTTTTTCATTTATTTTTCACAACTGAAGGATGTTGGTGGCCGCGAAATGAGGGTTAGATTTTCAGTTGAGATGAATCGTAAAAGGGAGAATCTTGAGACGATGAACTCCTCGCCCAATAGAACTATATACTATGAAGGTCCTTATAAGTTGTATGTTGGGAATCTTTCTAAGGTTGCTAAAGTGGAAGACTTGAGACAACTTTTTGGAAGATTTGGTAATGTGGCTAGTCTGAGGGTGTTGCGAGATTACAAACAAGGGAGAACCCGGGTCTATGCGTTTATCTCTTATCTTTCAGAGATAGAACGTGATACAGCAATTTCCCTCCATGGAACAGTAAAATCTGCCTTCGCTACTTTTCAATGTTGTGCTTCTTATTTCACTTTTTGTTTTGTCTGATGCCTGCTCTGGTCTTTCTTGCAGCTATTTTGTGGTCGTACACTAGTGGTTAGAGAGGGTGTGGATAGAGGGGACTAAGACTTAACTGCATCTTCAGATTCTGCGTAGAGATGACTCCAATTTTTGTTGTTTCAGAAGGAGCAAGTTCTTTGCTCTGGAATGTATAGCTGAGATTTATGGGACTGCCTGTGAGAATCTTCCTAAATTATAAAATGTCAGCTGAAAGTAGAGGTCAGCTACTATGACAGACAGTTCCATCAAAATCTGGACTCATACTCCTATATTTGTAGTATTTCAAATTCCAAACAGCAATATTGTAGTTCTCGATGTGTGTTTAGAACATGATTTTCCTAGTGACAAATTATTCACAACCTAAGGTCAAGAACAAAGAATGTCAACAGCTGATAAAGGACCTTTTCTTCCTTTATTTATTTATATATATATATATATATATATATATATATATATATATATATTAATGAATATTTAAATTCGTAATGAATAATTGGGCGCAGGGATTTAACATGTGCATGATATCATTCTCAAAAAAAAAATTCTATATTTTTTTGGAAACCGAAATGATTGAAAATTGTGTATATGATAAAATCAATTTATTTTTATACTTCAAATAATGAGCCTTTAGCCTAGAAACATAATTTGAAGAAAATTAATAATCAATTTTTTTTCATTCCGAGCAAAAAAGATAGAAAAATAAGTTGTTTCTCTCCATAATTAAGATAAATAATTCCTCATTTTGTTGACACTGGTGCATGTCTTCTTTGGCTCTGACTCTACCACCTTCAGCAAGAGAACTTGTTACTTAATAATCCATCACAAGAGAACTTGGCCATTTGTAATCCATCACACCGGTTCTTACGTGGAAAATTAATGAAATATACAACCATGTACATGAGTTTTTATTTTAATTCTATCATTAATTTTTAAATTAATAATTATAATTTCGTATTTTTTTTATTATAACCATGGGTCCATAACTCGGTGATAGAGCATTTGACTGAAAATGTATATTTCACTAGAGAAGGGAAATTCTTCTTCGGGTGACTGGTGCGGGAAAGTTTGAACCGCTTTTGCAAAATTCTCATCGTTCATGGGTTTATGAGCTCGTGAGTACTTGATTCCGAAAAACTGAATTCATTTTACATTTGTTTTTGGGACATAACTCGCATGTTTAGAAAGAATAATTAATGTTCGCAAGCCATTATATAGTAAATGTACATTTGCATCTATGAATGTCACGTGGTTCCAAAGTCATAAGACTTGACAATGAGATTTCCAATCAAATAACATATCCCACATTCTTATATTCTGTTTCAACAATTTTTCAAAATAGACTCCGATTTCTCTAATTTGCTCTTACTTCAAATCAGTTAGAACTCGATCTGCAAATTGAAGAAAAAATTGATTTGTCAAAAGGCAGCGGTGTCACAAAAAAAAACAAAATTGAAGTTAAAGAAATAAAACCAATTAGTCCTCCAAAGATTGCCTCTTTTTACCATTGATAAATATCAGCAACAGGTTTTTCTGATGGTTCCCAAGGCCAGTGTCCAAAGTTTCATAACTGGAATCAACATGGTTATGGGGTGCGAGTGTGATCTTTTCCGACCGTAGCCCACCGAATAGCATACACAGACCTACCCCCTGCACAGATTGTTACGAAGTCGACAATGCAGCTCCAGAAACATGTAAAATGAAGAAGAATAAGAGAATGGTTCGAGTTGGAGTACCTTCAAGAAGATTCCAGCTTGGAGTAACACTAACGTTCCATTCGATGATTTGGTGGAAATGACCGTGAAATTGTACAGGCAAGAGGGGAGGGAGATAGACTGTATGGGAGATGTAGAAAATGAGGTAGAGCGAACGAAAGTATGGATTCTCTTTACGCAGAAGAAAAAGGCTATTTCGGCGGAGAGAAAGACCAAATGGAAAGGCTAGGTTCACAAAGAAAGAGAATGAAGAGATGAATTTTAGATGCTGTGTTCAAAAAGCAATAGATTCTACAGAGTCAAGAAAAAAAAAATCAAAAATCAAGACAACGCTAGTGTGATGGGATCAACAGTTCAGATAAGAAGAATGCACAGTTAACTTAAAGGAAGCGTACAAGTTAAGGAATGCATATGAAACATGGATCCCCAAAGGTTTCTTCTACACATTTCTTCCCATGACATTTTACAAGTCAAACAAACAAAAGAAAAAACCACCAAAAACCAAGATACTAACAGGTGGAATGAACAGTGAAAGACTCGTGCACACACATATACACATCATCTCACATTTATACAACTTTTACCATTTAATTATAGTTAGACTCACCTCATTTGCTGCACACCTACTTTCTGATCATGCCACCTATACAGGTCTAATAAGCATTTTCCATGTTCTCCAACATTCCTGATTTTGCAAAAGTTGTGAAGTCATTATACGAGTGGTACTTGTGCAAAGTGAAAGAAATGTTGTTCAGATACGAATTAATTATCCAAATAACTGCAACTTCATTTACAGGGGGGAGGGAAGCAGATGTGGAAGGTAAAGACAAATATGCCACATTTAACAATGGCACCAAAAAGAAACATGTAAGGTACAATAAAACAAATCCATCCCATCAACTCTTGAAGAATACACCAGTCTCTCTCTATCAATACCAAAGAAACAGAGTTATTTGTTACATGGACATATAGAACTATATATGGAGCCTGGGAAAATTTATAATTAGATAATTCAGAGTTCTCTCTTGAGTAGTCACCTCACCTAGATTGCGAAAAAAACAACTTTTAAAAGAATAAAGGCATTGAACCGGTAGGTACATAGTTCTTAAGCATTACTTACACTTACTTGGAAAGCAATCCTCTAATCATCAATCATCCATAGATTTTCGTAAACAAAATGACCATAGTATTGATCAAATTCGACCATCTATTTATCACACGGGATAATAACATTCTTGATCTGTTATTTTGAAGTTGTCAAAATGAGAATGTTGAAATTGTTGTGTTCTATAATGCTGTCTTTCTTTATTGCAATCAGCAATGTCAAAGTTCTCTTATTGTGTGTTTGGAACACGATTTTCCTAGTGACGGAATATTCAACTTGGAGTCAAGGACAAAGAATGTAAGAGCTGATATATATATACACACACACATCCGTAATGATTAATTGGGCATGGAGATTTACTCGTCTGAAAAGGATTAAATGAAAATGGCAAGAATGTTAGAACTCGGTGAATAACAACAAATCCTTGAATGTAGTTTGAGACTTCCATGTTGAATGGCTTACAGAAAATAACTAACGCTAGTTTGATCAATCCCCGTCTCTATGTCCGAAGATCCAAGGACTGGACAATTCTTGGATCTCTCAGCCATCTTAACATTAACAATTATTATCCTCTACATTTCAGACAAGCTGCATAATTATGATTGACATGCAACTGTGTCATTGAAAACCATATTTACTAGAAGAACAACATGCCACACATTCTTAGACAAATAGTTAAGAGGAAATCCTGTAGGGTACACAAATTGGAAAATAACTAATTAAGAGTGTATACGTCAAATGGTTGAGAACCCAAGCATAAAACATAATCATGTATATACAAGAAGTAACTCGACTTAGTATTACATACTGCAGGCAATGGAATAAAATTCTCACCTCAGTTACCTGGTACTGAATATGCAGATCCAACATAGATTGACAAAATCATGCTTGTAAGTCGTAAGTCCTACAGATGTTTAAGATGCTCTTGACTTGGATCGTATCTTCCTAATCAGGTAGTTCTCCAAACCAATGCCAGCATCCACAATTCTAGTATGACCTTTTATTTCAATCTTAAGAACTTCCTCCAGAACATCACTGGTTTTCACACCATCATCCACTTCACATATCATAGGTATTAAGATCGTCCAAGTATCCGTATGAGGAGATTCCCCATGCTTTAGTGACTTGGTGAGAACTTCACAAGCTTCTTCAATCCTACCAACATTGCAGAACCCCTTCACTAAGGCATGGATAACAGCGAAATGAGGAGAAAAACCTTTGGACAGCATTTCCTCCGTATATTTATTTGCTTCATCAAGCATTCCCATGTCACATAAACCACTTACCAAAGTACGATAAGACACGAGATTAGGCAAGCACCTATTGACCTGCATGTCATCGATAACTTTGCAAGCATCGTGAGCACGCCCTTCTCTACAAAACCCCAATATGACTGTATTGTAATGAACTATATCAGGATTGCACCCTTTGACCTTCATTCTACAAAGAAGCTTGTAAGCTTCCCTGAGCTTCTTCTTCCTGCACAAACTATTCAACAAAGTGGTATAAGTCAAAGAATCCGGAACAAAACCTTTGTTCAGCATATCCTCCAACAGATCAACAGCTCCATTCACTTGACTCTTCCTACACAATGCTTGCATCAAAATTCGGTAAGACTCGATATCCGGAACGACATCTCTCTGAAACATTTTATTGAACAGAGAGTAGGCAATGCTAATATCCCCATTTAAACAGAAGGCCCGCATAAGAATATTGTAGGACTTGGTGTTGGGCAACACCCCATACCTGTGAGCATCCTTGAAGAGATCAAACGCGGGTCGAACATAATTCCTGTGGGAAACAAGAATCTCGAGAATGCGGTTCAGGTGTTTGGGTAAAGGCCTGCAATCGAATTGTATCATCGTGTAAAAGGTCTTGAGGGCTTTGTCGGGCAAATCAGCTTCACCATAGATTTTGATCAAGTAAGAGAAGAGGGTAGGAGTAATGGGGTGGGAATCGGATTTGAGGCGACGAATGAGATCGTCAACGAGAGACAAGTATTTGGAGCGACCCAGTTTAAGAATGAGAATGAGGTAGGTGGAGTAAGAGTGTCGGAAGTTGGGTTGGCGAGAGGCGTAGTCGAAGATTTCTTTGGCGAGAAGAGGGTCTGATTGGGAAGCTATCAGCTTCTGGACTCTAGTTGGAGACCCGATTGGGGAATTGGAACTATCGTTGTTGGAAGAATGGAAAGCTTTTTGCTTTTGGTTTTGCAAACTGAACAAGAATGATGGGGGTTTTCCCAGTGACAATAAGATGCGATCCGAAGCGGTGGTCATTAGCGTTTTGGAGAGGCGAACAAATAGTGCCTCCATCTCTCTGCTTTCTCAGTTTCAGTTTCAGCGAAGAACAAACGGGCTGCTTCATTTACTACCCTTCTTATCAACGAATGTAAAGTTTTAAAAATAATATAATATTTTAAGGGAATATCATTTCTTCAGCGCAGAAAAATAATATCTGTAAGTGAGACAAAATTTTCGACCTATTAAGTTTTGTTTTTTGAAAAAAAAAATAGCATGAAAATTAGGAACTGCATATGTCATTTTTTGTCGCAAAAGCAAAAATGATAATTCCAAAGCACATCATTTTGTATCATTTAAAAATTAAACCATAAAAAAAAGAGATCATATTTAGGAAAGGAAAAATTCATTTTCACCCCCCTTGTCCTATTACTTAAATTAATTGTGCTGAAATAATTTATTATATAATCCCTTTTGATTTTAACATTTTTTTTTTTTTTTATAACATGATTTTAACATTTTACTTACACTTGTAATAGTTACAAAAGTATATCGCTTAAATCTTTAGTAATCTTATAAATATAAAATATATTTTTTTTCTAAATTTTTTTTTATATAATTATGATATTATGAAATAAAATTAATAATTAAATATTTAGAGTTTTTTTGAAATTAATTTATAAATTATCTTAATTTTTTTATTTATTTTAAAAATATATTTATATAATAGATAACAAATTTATTTAAGATAAATTAAATATGTATTATCAAAATAAGATATTCACTTTTCCTAGATAATTTTATAACGATATCGGGTAAAAAATAAATAAAACAAAATAATAGTTGACTTGAATTTATTTTCATAATAAAAATAAGTGAATTTTTTTAAAGTATATCTTTGTTCATTTTCCTTAAATGCATTAGATAAGGATATAAAATAAAATAGGATATAAAATAAAATTCTATTCGATTCCATCCAATCGAACGACCAATAAAGTTAATAATTTCAAACAACCTTCTTGAATACCACTTGCAATTTGGTCACATTTTTCTATGCATTTAATCTAACGATAATTAAAAAACACTACATATAGATAAGTTTATCAAATTCAGAAATCTTGGAAGTTAAATCAGTAGCATTCAGAACGATTTTACCTTCAAATCAACTCATACATGTAGAAGCAAAAATTTGAAAACACTTCATATGGCTTTAACATTATCACAATTGCTTGAATATAGATGAGTTATATAGCAAAAAACAATTCTCTCAAATTCCGCCACGGCTTTCTATGAACCCGAAGGAATAAGCACGTTCGATCGTGTTCTATTTTTTCATTTTTTTTTATTGAATATGTGTTTTTCTTTTTGAAGAAATTGATTTTTGCCCGTGTTCTATTTTTCGTTCCTTTTTTTTATTGAATATGTGTTTTTCTTTTTGGAGGAATTGATTTTGGGAGAAGTTATACTTACAACTTATTTTTTTTTACAATCTCTTACAATCAATATCTTAACTGTTGATTTTCGTTGATCAACGGTTAAGATTTACTACGAATTAATAATTAATTAATAAATTTTATTTGCAAAAATCTTAACCGTTGATTGATGGAAATCAACGGTTAAGATATTAGTTGTAAGAGGTTGTAAGTATAACATTCCCCATTAATTTTTGCGTTACCGGAATTTTCCAAGAAGAGAGAAATGTGAGGAGAGAGAAAGGATGCGGCAGGAGGTGAGGAGAAAGAATGAGAAAAAAAGGTTTATTTTATTTCGTAAATGTCTATCGTCAGATGAGATTGTAATCTAATGATATTGAAAGGGGTAGGCAAGAGTAAGCAAAATAAGAGTAGATAAAATAATATATCCCTAAAATAAAAGCCATCCATTAATTTTGAAATCCAATAATTGTTCTTTTAAATTTTAAAGGATAACACAGTTGGTTAGTGAATTTTGTCCAACGGGGCTGAAAGGTCTCTACGTCGTTAAACTCATCCAAAATACACGGTATTCCCTGATTTTCATTTTTTATTTTTTTAACTCAGCAATTATTTGTTTATTATAATAATTAAACGTGGTTGACAAAAAGAGGTGGAATGAACCCAAACACTACATATCCGACAAATGTTCGGTATCAAATTTGGAGACGTCCTACGTATTGAAGAAGCAATACAATGTGTCTTGTCTACGCATCACAGAACACGAGCGAATGAAAGTGCATGACCGGCAACACATGTGCCAAAAAAAGAGTAAATACTTTTCTTGGTCATCAGAAAATTTTATGAGGTCCGTTTTAGTCCCTAACAAATAAAAAAGTTCATCGTGATTCCTGAAAAATTTAAAATGGATCCATTGTAATCCTTTCGAACACTAATATGAGTTTTTTTTGAATTTGTGAGGGATCATGGTTTCAACTAAATGAGTTCATTTTAAATTTCTTAAAGACCACGATGGATCTTTTTATTTGCTAGAGACTAAAGGAGACATTGTAAAATTTGCTAAGGACCAAAAAGATATTCACTCGCCAAAAAAAATCTTTAAATTACTTTTCTCCATTGTCCTTCTCTCCTTTGAGTCTTTCACTTTAATCCTTGTCTTTCACACAGGAACTGCGCGTAAGGTGACAGTGGTCTACCGGTAGACAATCAAGTATTCAATTGACTTTAAGGCTGAATTAAGTTAGTTGAGCTTTAATTACATTAATTTCTTCGAAATTTCACTTGCAGATTGATCTCATCATTGCATTAGAAATGTGAAAATGGTTGTGTTGATTTCATAAGGGCAACTCCAAATAAGTTATCACCTGATATGCGGCTGGCAATGGTGGAGCAAGTCTTCTAGTAGAGAAAAGAAAATGGAACTCTCCTAAACAAAGAAACCCAACATTTAGAAACATGTGATGAGTAACATAATAAAACGGACAAGTAAGAATATCTTATTTTTAATAAATAATTGTTTTTAAAAGTTATTTTAAAAATAATTATTTTTAAAAGTTTGTTAAATACATTTTTGTTTGAATTTTAATTTAAATAGGTAGCAATTCAGAGATTCTTCCAGTTAAAAAAGACAAATATGGACATCACAAAAGTTAAAATATAAGAAAAATAATTATCTCATGTGATATGAGATTTTATGAGACAATTTATGATGAACTGAGATCATTTTATATAACTTTATGTCACATGCAAAACTCCATTTCCAAACCTAAGGGATGAAATTTAGGGGGCGTTTGGTAGAGGAGAAAAAAAATTAAACTAGGCAAATTTGATTAGTGGGGAAATGGAGATAAAATGATTTTGATAGGAAAATTTAAAAAAAGTTGTTTGGTAGGATGAAATATTACTGAGAAAATTGAGTTAAATTTGTTGAGTCTATGTTTGGTAGAGGTAAAATAATGATGGGATAATTGGTTAAAATAACGAAACTAACCTTTTTAACTTTTGAATAGAGGTAGAAGAGCTTAAGGTCATTTCCGTCTACTGGTTCATGCTATTTTTTGGTTGCATGGGTAAACAAAAAAATACCACATTGGATATGGGTTTCTGAAACAGTGGAAAACAAAATTTTTTGCAAAAAAAACACAAAGGCTAGGCAAACCATTTCCCTAGTTAAATTTTGTTAACTCCTCTACCAAATGTGGGCAAGTTCAAAATCCAAAATAGGTTGCCTAGTTATCTCTATAAAAAAAACCTCTACCAAACACACTCTTAGGGGGTGTTTGGTTGAGGAAATTTTTTTAGAATAATAGGAAAATGTAATAGATACAGAAATGATTGGAAAGATAAATAAAGTGAAATAGGTAGAAAAATGTAAAAAAAAGTTGTTTGGTGGGAAATTTTTTTACTGGGAAAGTTAGGTAACTTTATGAAATCAGCAGTGCAAAAAGTGTGTCTACAATAGCATATCCGTGTTTTCATCAAAAACCACATGCAACTTTGCTTTCTAAACAGTGCAAAAACGTTGGTTTCTGAGTCAAAGTTGTGAAACACATGCAACTTACATAGATGGTCATTTGGAGAAAATCCTTCGAAACAAACGTTGGCTTTAACAAATCCTTAGTTCATATAAATGGGTAAATATTGAAAAGACCCAAACTAAACAGCCCCTTAAACAAAAATTCAATAAAAGATGGGTAATAGTTTTCTCATGTAGTAGGAGATAAATATTATCTCCTACAGACTCATATGTGTAGGTGGGGTCCACTTTCAGGAGGAGAGAGAAAAAGAATAAAGTGGGACCCATCTTGAATTTGTGTGTGTAGGAGATAAATTCTACCTTATGTGACATAAGAATAATAAATCCCATAAAAGATACTCGCTCAACTTAGCATTGTAGGATTTAGGACGGAAAAAGGGAAAGAAGAACGATAGAATTGAAAAGCTAGAGTAACTAATGGATCATTCGCCTGTTATAGTTGAGAGAATTCACCTTTTTTATCTATTGGAATGCAATCCCATATACTTTTTAAGAAGAATATTTCAAAAAGTTTGGTGGGGTCATGACTCGCCGCTTCAACATTAAGCTCCGCCGCTGGAATTAGGTATATATGAAGCTACCAATTAATACTTCATGTGTCTGTCCTAATGGAACTTCTAAATAGAGGTGGATTCGGTGCGCTCCATCCGCCAAATAATGTGGGATGAGTTGAGTTTTTCAAATTATCTGCTAGTTAGCTTGTCAGATCTGGATTTTTTGTTTTTATTTTTAGTGTAAAGTATTATGCGCTTGGCAGGCAGCCCGTTTCGCCTGCTCAAACCGAATGGGGTGTACTGAGTTTTTTAATTCACCTTCAAAGGTTGGACGGAGAGACCAATCTATTTTTTGGCGGGTTTACAACGAAACGAACAGTCTACTTTGCCCCCTCTATTTCTAAACATAAATTTCAATGGTGGAGCCGAGCTCCAATTTGAGCCTGAACCAAAAAATTATGAGTGTATTTATTTTTCTTAATTTTATTTAGTTCATATTATAATATATTTAAATTATATTAAATACAGAGTACCTGAGAAAATAACACTAAGAGAGTTATAATTTTTTTAAATACTTTTTAATTTTACTAAAAACATTTTATTTGTTTTATATAAGTGAAAATTGAACAGATAACTTAATATAATTTACTCAAATTTTTCATCAAAAATATTTTAAATTTTAGATAGGGACAAATTACAAATTATAGCCCAGGTTAAATTACAATTTTAACCTGAGCCAAATTATAGTTAATTATATAAAATAAATACAATTTATTCAAATTTAATCGAGTTGAGATCACACTCAAATTATATGTGGCTCGGCCACTGATAAATTTATAGCAATATATATCACAATCATCACAATTTTAAAAACCAACTATCGTCCTACGTAATTGAAATGTATGAAAGTAATTCCATCACTACTATCTAGAACTCAAAGAAGTAAATAACTTATTTAAATAACATTAACTGAGATGTTTTTGTTTTTGTTTTTTTTTAATATTCAAGTTGCAGGGCGAAATAAGATGAATAAATTAAGATTTTAATGTTTCTACGGTGAACACGTAGATAAGTTATTTACATTCAATTTCAAAACGATGTCATGGTTGAAAAATAAAAAAATTATAATAAAAAAGACTATTATAATCCTAAAATAAATTATAATTACAAAAATTCATTGATTTCCGTCCCAAAACAATGTCGTTTTAGGCTCAATATAAATAATTTATCTACATTGAATTTAAAAAAGACGAACCCATAAATTAATCCTGAAAACTCAGAGTAAACCCTTCTCACATATATAAACAATTATAACTCGCCCTAAGCTTTCCGCGATTCAAGAGAACTTGTAACGGCGGGTGGGATACAATGGCGGACGCAGGAATTTTAATAAGAGGGAGCGAAAATAAAAAATACTACATCATAAATAAAAGTACTTGAAGTACAATACAAATTTAATATACAAAAAATTGAAAAAATTCTATTACAGAAATTAATATCACTTCACTTACTCTTGCTCTACGTGTTTTCATATTATTAAATTCATATATAATTGAATCCGTGCTAAAACTCAAAATAATTTCTTTTTCAATGTATGTAATGAAAGATAGTCTATAACTATACATACATGCAATGATCTTAGGAAGGAGGAAGTTGATTCTGTCTGACTCTAGAATTTACATAGCCAAGATTGAAAGGCAGAAGGTTGGTGATGGATGGAACACGAAAAGAAGAGAGAAGATGATATGATGTTCTCAAGAAAAAATCTGGATAAAAGTATAGGAAGAAGCATGGGAATTTTAAGAAAAAATATTTATAACACGATAATTTCATCATCACATTTTTTTACATATATTTAAAAAAAAAAATTCAAATTTTAAAGGAGGCGTCCGTAGCCCCCTATTGGGTTCGCCCTGGTGAAATATACGTTGGATATTCGTGAGTAAGGTTGAAACTGCCACCCTCCATCATATTATAAAGTCTATATCATTAGGTTTTGTCATTCCTTTATTGAATTTTAGCCACTCAACATGATTTTATGTATTTGAATTTGGTTACGTGAATTTCATTCTAGACGACTAGGATTTCATCAGAAATATATAAGTTTATAATGAAGTAATTTTTATTATTTGAATAATTTAATAAAAGTCACTTAAAATATATAATTATGAAATTTTTTTATTTTTTTCTCTATTTAATTTAGATTAAAAAAAGTTAAGAGTCTTTTTATAATATCCAAACAGTTTCACCAAACAATTTCTGTCTTTTAAAAAAAAAGCCCTATTTGGACCACCGTATAATTTTGGCACGAAACAGTTAACATATTTGTATGCAAACTGCGTCAATTTCAACAGAAATGCACGATTTGAAGTTAGAACAAAAAAGAAGAAACAATTTATACAAAAAAAGAAAAAAGAAGAAGAAACAAATTATTGAAAAGGAAAATTAGTGGCAGCTAAGACAAATGTAAAAGAAAGAGAGAGAAAGAAATAAAATAATTGAGAATCATTAAAGAACAAATGCGGTTGTAGCGTGTGGCGCCTTCTCACTCCTCATAGTCGACATAGACATCCGAGATGAAGGAGAACCACAAAATCTGGAAGGATCCATTCGACGTTCCACGTGTCAGAGTCCCCACCTCATGATCCAAACTATGCCCACTTGGCATATCTCCTCCAAAAATATCTGCGAGAGTAATATTAATAAACTCCATATTTTTGATAGGTTTTTCTTATCGCTACATTTTTTTTTGATTTGTTAACTACATAAATAAATTATAGAAAATGTGAGGGTCATAGTACACGACATATCTTGTAACATGGTAAGATTCATTTTTTTTTCTCAATAAAACCCACACTTTTTTATATCTATAACATAATACAAGATATATCACATAACATGACACTCACATTTCTCATAATTTATATTACATTATATACTATTAGGAAACTATTAGGAAACTCATATAAGAATCTTAAACGTAAAAATAAAAATAAAAATTATAAAAGATATAAAAATTTGTAGCCGTAAAATCCAAGCTGTTATTTTTATAGTGATCCATAAGAAAAAAGTTTTGAAAGAGAAGCAGGGAGCAGAGGCACGTGTCAATTGGGTGGATCCCACAACGTGAGGGGTAATCAAAAACCAATGGCTGAAAATGGGGCACGTGAGCAATGGGTATAATGTATGATCTATATGCGTTGCTTTGCTTTGCTTCATTCCTGAAATGGCCAAGATATTTTTTTCACGGTTGTGACTTGTGAGGCCATCCGAGGTGGTTTGAAAATTGCAAGATTCTCTTTCTGTTTCTCTCTCTTCTTGCTTCCACTCAATTTTAGCGGACTTTCCAGATATTTTGAGTGCTCAAAGTTAAGACTTAAAGCATGAGGTTGTTTGTTTTGCTTCTGCTTCCTTCCTCTTAATTAGGGCTTTCGTGTTTTATGCGATTTCTGATTTGCTTTTTACGTATCAAGTTGTTTGAAAATGGCGGCGGTCTTGAGCTGTGACAAGGGGATGATGGGGGATCATAGCAACGAGCACCACAATGACTCCGCGGAGAAGTTTCTGCTCAGAGTGTTGCTTGTTGAATCTGATGATTCTACTCGCCAGATTATCTCTGCTCTTCTCCGCAAATGCAGTTACAAAGGTTTTCTTTCTTTTCTTCTTCAAATAATCTTGTTTTAAATCACTTTTTTTTAAGGAAAATAAAAACGATTTTCCTTTCTTCTGAAGCATGGTTTGATATTGATATACCAATACCAACCTAAGTAGATAATTCATCACCAAATAATTCACTAATCATTGAACGAGTACGGCAGATATGAAGGGTTTTGAGGTCCAACAAGATTGAACTGCATTTTAAATATTCATGCATATTATGAGTAAAATCATTGATACAAACGTGGAACTGGTCGAGTGGCTCACTAGTTTTGACACGGATTTCTGAGCTTATAGTTTCAGAGGGCTGATCTAACCGGCCACCAATCTGGTTTGATCGGCTGGTCTATTTTCATTACAGTTTTATCCTTGTTCGATGACCTCAACCAAAAAATGATTCCCGCAATTTTGCGAACATGTTTGGATTAACATATTTTTGTTGTGAGAGAGTCAATTTCTAATATGCTCGATAGAAGAGCTTTTGGCTCATAAGCTTAATTTTAGTGTAAAATAAACTAATCAAAACATGCTTACACTAAATTTGGTATTATTATTTTTTAATTGTATGCATATTTTCCACCAAATTGAGAGTAGCTTTACGGCATGAAATTGTGGAGTGTTTGATATGTGCAGTGCAGCGTAGGTACTGTTAAAAGTTATGTCCTTCCAAGTTAGTGTGCGGAAGGTGTATTTACCTTTAAGCTGATGATGCTTATGAAATTCTTAATCGTAATTTTTACATGCAGTTGCTGCAGTTCCTGATGGCTTAAAGGCATGGGAGACGTTGAAGAAAAAGGCACCTGACATAGATCTCATATTAACTGAAGTGGAGTTGCCATCAATATCTGGATTTTCACTTCTCACTTTAATCATGGAGCATGACATTTGCAAAAACATTCCTGTCATAAGTATGTCTTGACTCGGTACTGTGTGGCCTTAATTATTAATCTTGATATTAGTTAGATATGGCTAACGGGCTCAGGGTTGTTCTAAGTTTCCCATGGGTTTATTGCAGTGATGTCTTCTCATGATTCAGTTAGCATGGTGTACAAATGCATGTTAAAAGGTGCAGCTGATTTTCTTATAAAACCCATTCGGAGGAATGAGCTAAGGAACTTATGGCAGCATGTATGGAGAAGGCATGCTGTATGTCATATTCTTCAATCTTCTTCTAGCAACATTTTGATATTTCTTTTATTGTATAGTGTGGGCTTATTAATTTGAATTATATTCGCTTCAATTTTTCTTGTTTCAATTTCTATTTTTAATACAGATTAGCAGGACTCCTCAAAAGTTAACATTGCCCCAGAATAAACTTGAAGTTACTGCAGAGAACAATGCTGCAAGCAATAATTCTAGTGGTTCTGTGGCTTTCACACAGAAAAATAACGAATGCAGCGAGAAAACAAGTGAGGCACAAGTAAGTTTTTACTCCCCTCCGCCCCTGAAATTTTGCTAAAATAATGATTGATAGATATATCAATTTCTCAGATTTCAGTGTGTTAGGTGTGAAAGAGCAATTAACTTTTAACTGTGCTGATTTCACTTCTGATGTTCTACCTACACTTTCAACTATTGGTTTGAGATAATATAAAGACATACAACCTAGGATCTGTTCTACAATGCATCTGTGAAGCCACTTACAGCTTGAGGAAATTTTCCTTTCTAGATTAGGCTGGCTTCATGAAATTTCACATTGAAACTGCATGGTTTTCCAACTCTTGCAGAGCACTTGTACATCGCCATTTTTGGAAGCTGAGGGTGCATACATGGAAAATATGCAGGATACCTCCCAGCTGAAGAGTTCTTCCAATTTCAGCAAGATTGACACAGGGAAGTACGAAGAGTATACCAATTTTGGATGGGAATCAGCTAAGCATAACAGTGAAGCTGGAGGTATGTAATTCTCTCTTATTTTCTACTTGCGTTTGTTCAAATTTTTAGCCTTTATTTTGTTACTTAGCGACAGTTAATATTTACTGCAGAGAAATCAATTGTATTTGTATCAGAAGCTGCAAGGTGCAACAAAAGTTGTAAATCAACAAGTTTAAGGCTAGGTCAAGGCTATGATTATAGTGAAACAGAAAACCAAGATGAAGTTGTAAGAATAGAGTTAAGCAAAGCCAATCTTCACATTAGTACAGAGATTCATGGATGCATTGATGACCTGGTAGAACCTTCTACTGGGGCTATTGATTTGATTGCTACATTTGAGAATCTTCCAAAGAGCACTGATGAAAATCGTAGTTTCAATGGTGATAACACAGCCAAGTTTGATTTCGATACACAATTGGGACTTTCTATACGTAGTGATTTTACTGGTAGCTCATGTAAACCTGCAAATGAGGAAAGACAAATATTGAACCATTCAAATGCTTCTGCTTTTTCTTGGTGAGTTCACTATTTGATTGTTATTTTTTGAATTCTTAACTGATATCAAAGTACTGAAGATAGATGTCATTCAAAGTTTTTTTTGTGCTAACAAAGAAACAAACTTTATTCAGCAACAGTGAAATTTATCTTTGATTTCTATAATTTTACTTCATACATGTTCTTTCTTGTTCCTTTCCTGGTCTTGTTTATGCTGTTCTACATGTAGGACTCATGGTTGTAAAGGCTGACTAAAGGGTAATATCATACGGACTAAAGCAATTTTGAGAGCATGGGTTTATAGTCTCTGGAAGCATCTTTTTTTTAGATCTTGATAGAATTTTTTTAAAAAAAAAAAGAAAAAGAAAAAAGAAATCAATATCAATTTTTGCATTTCAAAGCACGTTTCCTATATAGCTTATAAAAAATACAGAATTTCTGATGATATGTGTGACAAAATCCCTGTCTGCAGGTATGGCAGTAGTAAGTTGTTGCAGCCCCTTTTTCCAACATCATCAATTACTTCTGCTAAATTAACAAACACCAGTTGGAATTCTCATGAATCCCATGAATTATCTGAAAATATAAATACTTCTCATCCGTATGGTGGCAAAAATCATTATCAGGAGAATATGACCTCCTCTGTGGTCATTGATCAGTCTGGAAATGCTGAACCAAATTTCCCAAACAGTCAACTTGGATTTTTTCCTGATACTGGGGTTACTTCTGATCATAAGTCTGTGGGACATGGTAATGTTTTCCCTTCTATTCCGTACGCACAATCAGGTTGCTATCCCATATGGACTCCGAAACCATTGTGCCAGAAAGAGAGTTCTCCATTTCCCGCTTGTACTTCATCCCAGTCCAATCCTGAAAGTCACGACTCCGAACGTTATCACTGGTCGGATGATGCCACCTATACTTGTGATCAAAATGTAAATGATCAACGCAATTTGGATTGTGTGACACATGACGCTCCTGCTGCTGGTCAGAGTTCTGGTACTAGTTTTTACCATGATGTGGCAAATCATAATAGTAGTGGTGTATATGAAAGCATAGGCAGCGGGAGTGATGGAAATGCTACTTCAGCTGTGGTGTCCAAGAATATCCCTGAAAGTTTTATTGATAGTGGTCGTAATAGTTATGATGAATTCAGGACGACAAATTCTCATCAGTCCAGCCAAAGAGAAGCAGCTCTAACAAAGTTTCGACTGAAGCGGAAAGACAGATGTTATGAGAAAAAGGTACTACAACCATTCTATTACTGCTTCTATAAAGAACTACTCAAACTATTTATGGTAAATGTACAATTGGGGCCTTATGCAAGTAATTGAATGTATAAAGAACTACTCAACCTTTCTACCCGGGTAAACAAAAAATTTCAAAAGATACCCGGGTAGGTAGGGGTGTACCCGGGTAGGCTTCGTGGTCAACGGTCAAACAGGGGCAGATTGGTGTTATGTTTTTTGAGGGGGTTAAATTTTTAAAATAGTTTATAATGAAGGTCAATTTGGTAATTAATTATTAGTAAAGGGTTATAAGGGTCAAAAAGCCTTCTAGCTCAAGTTGGTTTATGTATTTTTTGTTAAATTGTTTCCTGGTACTAGGATACAATGGGAAAAGTCGAAAAGGGATACAATGGGATATATCTTCTTCTTCTTTTATGTGAAAGTAAAGGAAAAATAATTGTATATCATATTTCTAATACAGTTAGAATTAGGAGGTTTACGGTTTGGACTGAATTAATTTTGAAATTAAAAATTATCCAGTTCAATTCTTTCTGTTTGATTATGTAATTATTCATTTGATTTGGATTTTTTTCAAATCCGATCTAATTCAATCTAATTTTTTTCGGTTTAGATTGAATCGGTTTTTGGTTTTTTAAAAATCTTAAAATTTGTTTCATGATTATTGTGTAAATAACATGTTTTGTATATATTGACTTTGTAAATTTTATTTTTTAAAAAATACAAAAACATCAGTAAAAGATAATATATTTTTTTGGGTAATGAGTCATTAGATATGAAGTTCTACACAAGATAAATTTTTGTTGATGAGATATGACTAGATTTTTTCTTGGGTTTAGTGGATAAGTTAATGAATTTTGGGTTTAGAAATTTTTGGATTATAATTGGAGAAAAGCCTAAGTAGGTAGAGAGAAATTAATATATTGGATCGGTTTTCATCAATCAATTCGAAAACCGCTCCAATCTAATTAAAATTTACGATTTGTTTCGGTTTTCAGTTTTTCAATTTTCGATTTATTCGATTATCGATTTTTTAATTTGGTCGCGGCGATTTAAATCAGTTTTGGTTCACGAACCTTTCTAATTAAAACTGTGTTTGGGTGACTTTCTAGAATGTTCAATCTTTTTAAAGAGCCTTGTTACGTGTTGTATAGATAATTGGATCCTAATTGTTCACACTTGAAAAATCAACTGCGCACGATTTTCATAGTAGAAAATGTTGTCCTATAAATAAAAGGGAAATTATTCTTTATTATATGAAGTTATTTTATGTTATAGATATATTGATAAATATGTCCTATTATTTTTTTTATTTTTTACTTTTAACACAGGGATTTATCATGTGCTGAGTCTTTAATATGAGAGGGAGTATCATGTCCTATTAAATACTCCCTAAATAAAAAAGGCTAATATGCTCTCATGTTCTAATGGGATTTTTTTTTAGGGTTTTATAAAAGAAAGGGTTTTATAATTAGGGAAAATTATTTTTCTTGGAAATAAAATTATCTCAAGTGAATTCAAAATAATGTCATTTTAGAATTATAAGATTAAAAAAATATAATAATAAAGATTAATGATTATGCAATATATTAAAACTACAAAAATATCTTAATTTTTGTTTGAAAACGACGTCATTTTTGGCACAACGGAGGTAACTTATCTCCATTGACTGGAGAAATCCTTTACCCTTATAATTATTATGTTATGAAATTTTTTTTTGTATTTCTAAAGGATATATAACTATGACATTTTAAGAAAAAGAAAGATATAATCTAATATTTTTTATTAAAATTTAAATTTTAAAAAAAACCACTGACCTTTTCTTCCATAATTTCTATTGTTTGTATCTTTTTCTAACTTAAAATAACATAACTTTATCTTCTTTCAAATAACAAACATTAAACCTTTTGTTATAGGAAAAACATTATTTATTCCCACTAACAAACTAGAAGAGAGAGAAAGTGAGATCAGAAAAGAAAAACAAAACTTGTGGACCCCGTATTTTGAGAAATATTTGTAGTACATCAGTCAGCACTCCATGCAACCAGCCAATAAAAATGAAGTAATATCTGTGTTTTTCATATAGAGAAAAAAAGAAAATAGTGTTTTAGTCCAAATATCTTTTTTTAATCCTGGATGTACATACGACATTTTTATAGAAAATGATCTCCATATTTTGATTATGTTTGTAGAAAATTGATTTTCTTCGTGTTACATAATTATTGTATAACCTTAAAAGAAATTAACTATTTCTTGTCGTGTCATCGTAAATTATGTCATTTTAGAATTTAAAAAAAGGGAAGGATATTGTGACAACCAAGTTGTGTTACTATCAAGTGACTAGCAATTAATCTCATCGTTAGATCGATTATGTTGATCCAACGGTTATACTTATTTTCATCTTTGTATGGTCATGGTTTCCCAAATTTAATACTTTATATTTATTTTCACCTTTGTATAGTTATGATTTCCCATATTTAATGATTTCACTTTAAATATGTGAAACCATGACCATACAAAGATGGAAATAAATATAATTGTTGGATCAACATAATCGATCTAACGGTGAGATTAATTGGTAGTCACTTGGTAGTAACACAACTTGGTTGTCACAATATCCTTCTCTTTTAAAAAAATACAAGTATTTTTGTAAAAATTTATGATATAAAAAGAAAATAATTTTTAAAATACCCTAATTTTTTTTAATTTCTAAATAATATCATTTTAAGATTATTAGAATAATTTTATCTACTGTCGCAGCAGAAATATTTTTTTCATAACAAAATAGTTATTATAAAATGGGTTTAATATATCTCCGGAAATAAAGTTATCTCTCGTGTCTAAAATGATATTATTTTAGGATTGGGTGAAGAAAATTATAACTATAAAAATTAATATAATCTCAAAATAAATTAAACTTACAAAAATATTCTTTTATAACCTTAACATCACGTCGTTTTGAGTTCATTAGATATAAGTTATTTCTAACAGAAAAAAAATTAAAATCTTTAAAATTTAAGGCAAAGAAAGTGTTTTAGAAAAGTTGATAATAGATTTTAGAGGAAGGTTATAGTTACAACCTTTTTTTTACAACCTTTTACAACTATATCTTATCACCGTTGATTTTCGTCAATCAACGGTTATCATTTATTGTGAATTAATAATTAATTAATGAGTTTAATTTGCTAAAATGATAACCGTTGATTGACGAAAATCAACGATAATATGATATGATTGTAAGAGGTTGTAAGAAAAAAAGGTTGTAACTATAACCTTCTCTATAACCTTGCTCTAGATTTCAAATGAAACATTTTTTTTTACGTAAACATTATTTTTAATTTAAATAAAAATAATATAATAATATTTAAAATTTACTTCACCGGTCTATAAGCTTGAATGCGAAGGTTTTGATGAGATGGGCTTCTAGTTTTATTCCACAGCGGAGCATTGGTCTCAGGATTAGGCAAAAAGCCTGCCAAGTTTTTAGTTTCTTGTGGGAGAAAAGAAGAAAGCGCATTTATTATTCCGTTTTAACTTTGAAGAGCTTGTTTTCAGTTAAATTTTTCTTATTGTAATGAGGGCTCACAAAACATTTTATTACAGTTTGAATGACCTGAACAAAATAGTCTAGGGACTGCTATCAAGAATGTTAAAAACAGTTTAGAGACAGCTCTTTTGTACTAAATTTTGACTAAAATAACCTTAATAAATTGTTAAAATTATACTTTTCAATAAAACACTTCTCAATATTTCTAACTGCTATTCCTATTATTTTATATTGAATTTACGATAATACAATTTATCTAACAAGTTTTATTTGGATAAGCACTTTTTTTTTGATAAACTGTTTTTTTTTATTTAAACCGCCTATGTTTCTCACTAAGTAGAATTCCTAAATTAGAAAAGACCATATAAAAGAGAGTCTTGTTAACAAACACATTATGAATTTTTTTAGTTTCTTAATTGTAATTTTTTTTTTTAAATGATAAAAATATTTTATTAATTTATGTCCTTAAAACACATGTTAAGGAATTAAAATATTAAATTTTAATTATTTAATTATTTCAAAAAAATACTTTTTAAGAAATTAAGATATTAAATACTTATGTTTTTAATAATTTCTATTTTTAATTTATTACCAGTGCTCTAAAAGCACACGTTAACAAAATCTTAAAAAAGAAAATTTTCTAATAAATTTTAATGGTGATTTTTTATTAGAGTTTTAATTAAGATGATAGTTTTAACTGAAGATGCAAGTCCACATTCAAGCTTAGCTAAAATATTCTTCTTCCAATATTAATCAGTAATTTTTTTTACAAAATATCTTTTAAAACATGTTTATCATATTGATATTGTTTTTTTTTTGGTATGCTATCATATTGATATTTAACATTGTTGTACATAAATAAAATAATTTCTTTAGATTTGTTTTAATTTATGTTGAATATTTTAATTAGTATGATATCTTTTTATTGAAAATTAATTTAATAAAAAAATGATTACACTTAAGTAATTAATTAATATGGTATGTTATTAAAAAAATTAATAAAACGATTGTTGGGAATGGAACAGGGAGCACAAAACTCTTTGTAAAGGGTACATCCACCAATGGGCCAATGACAAACCATAATAAGTGGGCCGACACCACATCTTAACCCAAAACCTTAAGGTTGTAGGTTTATGGGTCTTTCACACTTATATGGTCATCACTTGGCCTATGTCTAGTCTATGTGGTACTTCTTTACAACTCATACTTGATTATTTCCAACATCCTCCCTCAAGTGTGACGCCCAATATCATTCTTACCCTAAGGGCAACTTCTGCAGAAGTCCTTTTTTTTTTCTCTTTCAAATATTAGGGTCACACTAGCCTTCTGGAGAGGCCTTCCAAACACTTGGCCCAGATCGTTGGCTTTGATACCACTGTTGGCTTTGATACCACTATATGGTCATCACTTGGTCTATGTCTAGTCTATGTGGTACTTCTTTACAACTCATACTTGATTATTTCCAACATCCTCCCTCAAGTGTGACACCCAATATCATTCTTACCCTAAGGGCAACTTCTGCAGAAGTCCTTTTTTTTCTCTCTTTCAAATATTAGGGTCACACTAGCCTTCTGCAGAGGCCTTCCAAACACTTGGCCCAGATCGTTGGCTTTGATACCACTGTTGGGAATAGAACGAGGGAGCCCAAAACCCTTTGCAAAAGGTACATCCACCAATGGGCCAAATGACAAACCATAATAAGTGGGCCGACACCACATCTTAACCCAAAACCTAAAGGCTGTAGGTTTATGGGTCTTTCACACTTATATGGTCATCACTTGGTCTATGTCTAGTCTATGTGGTACTTCTTTACAACTCATACTTGATTATTTCCAACAACGATAGCAAAGATGTCAAATTTAAGATTAAATTGCTCGTGCTTAATTTTAAGTTGGAAAATTTTGTTATACAAAAACTTTCAAACACAAATATCACAGGAAGGAGTGTATTTTCGGAATAATGGGAGTAGGTAGGTACTTCTTTATCAAAAAAAGAAAAAATTAGGGATATAAAAGAAAATAACTATAAAGATAAAGATAATATATAGGGAAAAGTATTTGTCATTTTAAATGATATAAAATTATGTTATTTTAAGAGAGATATAGACACAAAATATTTTTTTATTTAAAATTTAAATTAAAAAAACCATCCACTTTCTCTCTTTCATGATTTTCATTTTTTGTGTCTATCTCTCTCCTAAAATGATATAACTTATGTCATTTAAAATGACAAACACCAAATTCATATATATATATATATATATATATATTCTTCATATTTGATAAAGAAGTATTGAGTGGACGGTATATCTGTAATATTGAAAATATTAAGAATGATGTACTAAATAATTTCAGTATTATTTTATTTTTGTAATAAATAAGAGAGAGAAACTGTTTTTCATTTTATTTTACTGAAATTTTAATTTTTATTGTTAGGATATTTGCATTGTTAGGAATTCAAACCAGCAAAAGCACTCTGCTGAGATTATTAGCCTCAAATTAATCTCACCCAAAAGAGTATGCAAAATCACGCAAATGCTAATAAAAAGAATGAAAATGTCCTTTTAACAAAGAGTTTTACGAGTATAATGTTAAATGAAAATTTTTACGAGATGGTGTCCACATGTTCTTTTGTTCTCTTTTATCATTCTGCTTTTTCTCTCCTTCTTATTGTGAATGGAGAAAAATTTTCCTACATCATATAAGATTACATTCATTACTCTTACATCATATAAGATTACATTCGTTACATGATTAATTTTTATCTTTCCTGGAGAGATACTAACAGTCCCATCCGCCATTTTTCTTTTATTTTTTTTAAAAAATTTGATGTATCCCACATTTATTTATTAGTGCAGGAAAGTTGATATTTCATCCAGTAACATAACAAGCTGTTAACCCAAATAAAATACTCAAAGAATTATGAGTTGAACCTAAGATAGTTACATGAAGGTGGACGTGATTACATTGCTGCCGTTCAATTCAAATCTCTACAATACAGACAAAATCTTAAAATGGGATTAAATTGCAGTTAAGAATAAGTTGTCAGGAAATATTTTAACTAGACTTTAAAAATATTTATTATGAAGGAAAAAATGTTTGTAATATCTTTCTATATCGAATCCAGGTACCATGAGGAACAAGACAAATAATGCAAGACAATAAAACTTGAAAGGAAAAATCATGATGACGATATCTATATTCCACATGATAATGATAATAATTTTGTTTCCGGGATTCTTGTCTTTTTGGCATTGGCTGAGTGAGTCATTCGACGTTATGTATCGAATCACACCAAAGATTCACAAATCAAAACCAATGAGTCCTTTCTTTCTTTCTATTGAAACTCAACAAGCACCGGCCTGGCGGAGCAGGACTTCTTACTAGTCCTACCATTGCTGAAAACTGAAATGTCTGTGCATTGTTCTTTCTCTTTCAAAATCTTGAGCTTTTTGCTTTGTAATTCTTATTTCTGCATTTTCTCTTTCTGGGTTTTGATCAAAAATATATCTTTTTTTTTTTTGAATCAAATGGTGGGGACCGTATATCCTTGAATTTTGGGAATATTACGAGTACTAACTCTGATTTTTTTTTTTTTTTTTCCCTTTTCTCTATTTACAGAATACAGAGTTCTCTTTCCAGAGAGGGTTTTTCAATTTTTCTTCTTCTTCATCACTGATATAAGAGAGAGGTGGATTGCCAAGCTCGTGTTTAGAAGATGCAAGCCAAAGCTCAAAGCCAAGTAAGTAACAGCCGCAGATTAACATTGGATACCCAAGTCTTTTTCATTCTTAGTTTGTTGGGTTTATGAGACCCCATTTCTATTGTTCGCATTCTTTTGTTGCTCTATCATTATCAAGTATCCGTCTCTGAATTTTTTTTGTATAAAATTCCATTTTATATTTATAAAAGAAGGGACTTAACACCACCCAAAATGACGTTATGCTACTTTTCTATTTAAAATCTATCGTCTTATTATATAAGAAATGTCACAATCGATTTGGCTGGAAAGCATGTTGTAGTTAGTTGTATTAATTTTTCTATTTTTTCTATATTGTAAAAGTAAAGGGATCTTGTATAGGTATTCATCATGTTAACAGAGAGTCTTTTTACCTAGTAGAGGAGAAATACGGAATGCATGATGGTTACGTTGTATTACTACTCAGGGTCTTTACTTTTTATCTCCATTTATATGGGTGATTGCATGATTCCAAACTAAATTAAACTCTGGATGAGTAGGTTGATGACGCTTGTGTTGATTATATGACACCCACAACTTGTTGGTCCTGTTCTCTGCTGACTTGTTTGTGCCTTTTTCTTTGTTCTTTAAGAAATTTGAGAAGTTAAGTTGTCTGTCTTTTTCTTTTGCTTTCCTATAAATATTCTTTCTCTTGTATAAGGGGGCCAAATGTTCTTGTTCATCTAACTGTTTTTGATTGGCCATTCTTTATTTGCTGGTGTACAATGATATTTTTGGTTGATTGACCTCATTGCCTATAGTATGTGGCTACTTTGTTCCAAAATTTTGTGACTTAGTAGTTACAAGCAAACTAAAGCATTAAGAAGGAACTGATCTTTGGAACTCATCTGTATGCAATTTCTTATACTTATGAAACTTATCTTTGAGTCCCTATTCCCTACTTCGATGTGTAATAAAACCCTAAAAGGGAAATATTACTCTCTTTTCACATAAGATAACTTCTCTCATATTATCTCACTTCGATTTTTGCACCTCACCTTTTTTTTTATGCAATGATGGGATCCACCCATTTTCTCTCTACTAAAATAACTATTTTATGTAAAAGGAGAGTAATAAAACCCAATGTTAAAACATCAAAATTTTAACAGTTATTGTTTGCCTGGACTAAAGCTTATCTTAATACAAGTTTTTCAGCCATACATTTTGCTATATAATGTTATGGTTTGGGAATTCAGTCGTGAGTTATAATCAGTCAAAACAAGAGGAGGAAGAGGAGAGAAGGGGGGGGGGGGGGGGGGGGGTGCATTATATGTTGCTTAATATAAATTTGCGCCGTAAAGGAACTCTGCAGAAATGGTTTTTACAACTATCTATTAATGTTATCTTGTGTGAGTTATTCAATCATAGTGAGATTATCTTGCTTCAACAACTAAATGACTAGTATAAACGTTAAACGGTGGACTAGATTGGATTAATAGTTTATATATTAGTGCATAGCCCTGCCTTTAGGTCAGAACCATTGAGTTGATATTATCATGAATCTTTTACTTCTATAAGTATTTAAACTGGGATTATCATGAATCTTTTACTTCTATAAGTATTTAAACTGGGATTAAAATTGCAACCAGAGACCTACCTGGGCCTTTTGATTTGGTAGATAGTTTTTTGGTTAATATGATTTGATGGCTTATAAGTCGATATCTTCTAACTGAATTTATGTCTCTCTCTCAATTAAGAATTTCATTTCGAGGTTATGATTTTATAAACGTACCCTCACCTTTGTTAGTTTACTGTGGTTGTCTGAAAGAAACTTTTTTTGAAATTATCATTGATTTGTTATTGTTATATAGATTAAAGATGGACAAATTAAACCATTCTGTTAAATTACATGATCTATAGGAACTGGCAAATTTGTTAGAGAAGTTCACTCATTTTAAATAATGTTTACTATTTTTGTGATATTCTTTTCATTACTTATTATACTTCTAGAGATCATCTTGGGATCAAATTTTACCTGGTATACTGAACTATATTATTGGTTCCTGATATAATATTTTACTTTTTTTCTGTTTAATGATTGCAAGAGCGTGAACTCCAGTTGCTTTTTCCTTTTTTTTTCTTCTTCACAAAGTTATGGAATGTTACGTATTCATTTTTGTTTTAATTCAGATGGAAGCACAAAGCTCTAAGCACGCACAAATTATTGAAATCAGTGGAGAACTTCCTCCGGGAGGAGGTATGATTTGTGGGGAAGCACCATGTGGGTTCTCGAATGCTGGATCAATCTCTCAGGATTCCAAAGAACGATCAACTTCAATGCGAAAGCTTGTGATGGCAGTGGTTCTTTGTGTTATTTTCATGAGCATTGAAGTAGTTGGTGGCATTAAAGCTAATAGCCTTTCAATTTTGACAGATGCAGCCCATTTGCTTTCAGATGTTGCAGCATTCGCCATCTCTATATTTTCTTTATGGGCTGCTGGTTGGGAAGCCAATCCTCGTCAATCATATGGATTTTTCAGAATAGAGATTCTTGGTGCTTTGGTTTCTATCCAGTTAATATGGTTGCTTGCTGGGATTCTGGTATACGAAGCCATTGAAAGAATTGTAGCTGGGACTCATGAGGTGAATGGCTTTTTAATGTTTATAGTTGCTGCATTTGGTCTAGTGGTTAACATCATCATGGCTCTGTTATTGGGTCATGATCATGGCCATGGACATAATGATCATGGCCACAGCCATGGACTTCAAGTGTCTACTCATCACCATCATCATGATGTCAATCATCCAAAAGATTGCCACCATCATGCTCATGAAGATCACATGCACCATGATGCTCACGAGGTTGCTAAACCGCTTCTTGGTGAATCAAAAAAGAAGGAGAGGAGATGGAACATAAATGTACAGGGTGCTTATCTCCATGTACTTGGGGACTCTATCCAGAGTGTTGGAGTAATGGTTGGGGGAGCAATCATATGGTATAAGCCTGATTGGCAATTAGTTGATTTAATTTGCACTTTAATATTTTCAGTAATTGTTTTGGGGACAACAATAAATATGCTGCGAAACATATTGGAAGTCCTAATGGAGAGCACACCACGTGAGATAGATGCAGCCAAGCTTGAAAGGGGGCTGCTGGACATGGAAGAAGTAGTGGCTGTTCATGAGTTGCATATATGGGCTATTACAGTTGGCAAGGTTTTACTGGCTTGTCATGTTAAAATCAGACCAGAAGCGAATGCAGACATGGTGCTGGACAAAGTTATAGACTATATCAGAAGGGTTTATAACATCAGTCATGTAACTATACAGATAGAGCGCTAGTACATTATTTTGGCCAGTGATGATTATGAACGGAAGAATTTAGATACAGGCATGGGGCATTATGCTTCTGGATCTCAAATATGTCAGTGAAAATATATATATATATATATATATATATATATATATATATATATATATATATATGAGGCAGGATCCTTTGACACCGGTGTCAAATTTAAAGTTTGACACCGATGTCAAATTTGAAGTTTGACACCTCTCATCTGAGTCGTTAGATCAAAAAAGATCAATGGTGTCACATGCTCACAAATCAAAGTCGTTGATCTTTTTTTATCTAACGGCTCTCAGATGAGGTGTCAAACTTCAAATTTGACACTGGTGCCAAAGAATCCAATCTCTCTCTCTCTCTCTATATATATATATATTTGGTTAAGATATATTTTTAATCTCTACACTATTGCACTCATTTTCAATTTAGTCTTTATACAAATTTAGTTTTCAATTTAATCTCTATGCATACCATTCGTTGTTTTCAATTTAGTTTGTTTGTTGCTGTTATGTTACCTTTTGTTGAATTGGAAATCAATCGCATGATCTATAGTGAACAAAAATATTTTCGGTGAATATGCATACTGAACAATCATTTTTAAATTAGTCCTCATACTTCATGTTATTTTACGTACCAATCTCATGAGGTAAGAATGAATCCGTACACAATTGTACATATAGAGATTAAAATGAAAAAAATTTGTCGTGCAAGAATCGAATTGAAAATAAATTTACGTATAAAAAAAATATCTAGGTCTTTTTTTTAACGATAATGTCTATGAAATATTCTTGCATATACTTTTTTTTTAGCAATTTAAAGAGTGCAGATGATCAGCATTGAATATTTGCCGCTTTGATTAATATTCAGATTTATAGGGTATTTACTTAGTTGCGTGAAACTTTGTTTGCTGCAATCAGATTCAATTCAAGTAATCCTTGTTGGTGTCATTGCACAAACATGCAAAGTTACTTATTTGCTTGTGGGAGATTTTTATTCTGCTGATGAGACTGGGAGACAAAGCTAGGTCCCTACCGCGGTCCCAACCAGTTGAGTAACTGCCATTATGTTTTGGAGTCTATTAGTGACAAATTCAGTGTGTCACAGCCCCATGAGAATGTAAAGGTTCTCAGCTGTTTTCCTGATAGCACCGATTCAATTTGTTGATGCTTAGTTACTGGGGGCACCTCTTTGAACATAGCAAAGATATTAACGTGATTCACTAAGTTTTAACCTGCCCTTGTCCCCCTTCCCATGAACTGATAAGAAAAAATTGTTCCGAGTTTCGGACTTCAGCTTCACCTTATAAGGTGAGGATAAGGTTGTGGTGTTTTATGTAAATTTTTTAATAAAAATCTGCTTCAATGTCTAACGGGGTAACAAAAATATACCATTTTACAAGCGTTAGAAAACCAAGATGGTTGAGCCAACTTTTACTTAAAAACTTAACATTACATCGCTCGCATAATTTACGAGTGATTTACCCACTATTTTCTCATAATTTACAAGTTCTAATGAAAGCATAAAATAAACAGCTCAAAATTGTTCAAATTAAGGCTGCATTGTGTTCAATTGGTGCACATCTTAGATATTAATAATTGAGGGAAGATATTTTGACTACCAAAAGTTTTCACTACCACCTTACTACCTATCTAATCACCATTGGATTAACATTTTCTCTCTCTTCAAAAACTTTTTAACATTCTCTCTCTTTGATCCAATGGTGATTTGATAGGTAGTAAGGTGGTAGTGGACACTTTTGGTAGTCAAAATAGAGGTAGGATATTTTGACTACCAATTTTTTCTACTACCACTCCACTACCACTTTAATCACCATTGGATTAAAAGTTATTTTTATTTTCTCTCTTTTCATTCAACTTTTCCTCTAATTCAATAGTGATTAGAGTGGTAGTGGCGTGGTAGTAGAAAAAATTGACTGTCAAAATATCCTAACCCATCAAAATATCCCCCCTCTTAATAATTTAAGAATGTTCAGAATGCATAATTTATTTTTGATAACTTATTTTCACTTGCAATGTACGTACTTGTTTTTATGATGAATGGCTCTTCTCATATATTTAGTAGTTGATGCAGTTAGTCACATTAATCAAAAAGAAGTTCGAGCTTTGGGCTTTGGCTCCGTTTATGTAACCAAAAAAAAATAGTTGAAGTAACAAGGTTATAATCAATCTTAATCTTGTTGAATGGACAGAAATTGTAACAACAATGTACTCTCACGTTGCTTGCTGTTATGGTGTCAAAGAGTTCAGAAACACTCTTATCTTGCTGTATACTGGGGCTTAGCTTTGTACCTGAAGTGTTGCAGCATGTGCGGTCTTGAAATGTAAATTGACAAGTGGATCTGAAGGGTAAATAAGTGATACAAAAAAAATTGAATTTGGGAGAGAGTGGTATTGGGAATGACTGACCCATCATCAGAGCAGTGACACAACACAATCCATAGAAGCCCTTTCCAAAGCTCTCTCTTTTTTTTTTGTACTCACTTTTATATGAGAAAGAGAGAGAGAGAGTGGCACAACTGTCTGTCCCCGCTGATGGACAAAACTGCCCACCGCCAATAATGCTTGGGACCTTGTAAGCAAACCAGACAATCCTCTCTCTCTCTCTCTCCCCCCTTGCTGCACGCTCTCACCAACTCTCACAGTTTACAGTTCCATGTGCATCATGGTTTATATCTTCTAACCCAGTTGAGAATTTTCCACCTTTCGTTTCTTACCACATCCCTCTCCACTTTCTCCTTTTGATCACCGTTGTTTTAACCCCGAGTCACCGGTTTGTTTGAACCCCACTCTCTCTTCTCTCTACTTGTGAGTTGTTCCAACTTCCAAGCGCAACAATATTTATTATATTCTATATAAGAGAAGGAGAAAGAGAGTATCAAAACTTGAGCATTAGTAGAACACAAAGGAATATATTGAGGAGGTGTATATGTGGTCTTGGGGATTACATTTATTACTATTCCTTTGTTAGTATCACTATACGGAATGTTGGTTGCCCTCGCAGAGTGGGATAGAGAGAAAGAATTTAAGATATACTTGGATCACTGCTCAGCTTGAATGGAGAGGTTTCAAGGACCCTTCAATTCCTGTGTATATTTCACATCCATCCTTTCCTTTTCTTGCATTAAATGCATTGTGTTACTTCCTGCAAATATATGTATCTGCCCTGCTTCCTCTCTTTCCACATTCTATTTCAGTTCCTCTTTTATTGCCCACTTTTCTCCTTTGAAACTCAACCTTATCATTAATGGAAGTTAATATATTAGTTGCTTCTTTTGGAAGGTTGGGTTGTGAAAATGAAATCCAGCTAATGTATCTGCTCTCTCCTCCTCTCTCTTTTTTTTTTCTTTTTCTTTTTCTTGCAGTTCTTTGGGGAGAATTGTTTGGAGCAAGGCTTCTTTGGTACAGAGAGCTTGAAACTTGAGAAGGATGAACAATCTCTGATATCAAGCTTAGAGGACAACATGCCATTCCTGCAGATGCTTCAGAGTGTAGAATCCCCACAAATTTCCCCCTTCAAAGAGCCAAGCTTTCAGACACTCATAAGACTGCAGCACCTGAAGAAGCCATGGGAAGGGATAGCCTGCATACCCAGATTTGAGACCCAAGAGCTTGAGAGCTGTGTCACCAATGACCTGGTGGAGATGCAGTCACCATTGAAATCCGAAAGCAATGACCTTCAACATCCGCATTCAATAGCGACCCAGTGCAATCAAGAGCGACCCAAATCAGCTCAAGATTGTAGCAAGGATGGTATTGGAGATTCTGCTGCTGTTTGGGCTAACTCACAATCATGGCATAAAGGCACCCAGACCCAGTGCCCCAAAACTCAGCTAGCTACGCGGGAACGGCGAAAGAGAAAGAGAACGAGACAAACCAAGAACAAGGAAGACGTTGAGAACCAGCGAATGACACACATTGCTGTGGAACGCAACAGGAGACGCCAAATGAATGACCATCTCAGTGTCCTCAAGTCCCTCATGCCCCCTTCCTATATTCAAAGGGTATGTCATATCAAGTTCACAAATGGAGCCAAGCTCACTTCTTCAGCTTTAATCATGTTAAAAATCCAATCTTTATGGCACATACACAATATGTTTCTGTTTTTTTAGTTATATATATTGATATTCGAACTCTTTCATGGGATACTATAGGGTGACCATGCATCAATCATTGGAGGCGCAATAGACTTTGTAAAGGAATTGGAACAGTTACTTCAATCCCTTGAGGCACAGAAAAAGATGAGAAAGAACGACTATGTCGGTTCCAGTGAGTTGTTTGAATTTGAACCTGGTTATGAAATGAGTTCATCCCCGAAAGAAGCAAAGTGTGGGGATGAGGTTAAAGAAGCAAAGTGTGGGGGTGAGGTTAAGGCAGAAAAAAAGTCACAGGCAGTAGCCGTAGAGGTCACTGGGATACAAACCCATGTGAACTTGAAAATTCAGTGCCAAAGGAGACATGGGCAATTGATAAAAGCTATTGTTGCCTTGGAGGACCTTAGGTTAACTATTCTGCATCTTAACATCACATCCTTAGAGGCTTCGGTTCTCTACTCTTTCAATCTCAAGGTATTACTTTGTCTTTTCACTTCATCTTTTGTTTTTGTTTTTGTTTTTTTTATGTGGTCAACTCGTCAAAGTGGAATCAAGTCTATGTACTGGTTTTCTGACTTGCAACCTAAGCAAAACGTAGGCTCCCTATTTCCAACATTGTCTATCATTAAAATATGGAAAAATATTTTCTTATTTTGCTGTACAATTCAATTATCATGTTGTGTGATCTTTTTGATGTTCGTGCAAAGTTTTTTTTTTTTTAATAAATGTGTGTTCACTATTAGTTGAGTCAGAACATGATAATTGAATTCTCATGTAATATGAGAAAATCAAATCCCTTAAAATATATATAAAAGTTAACTTTTTTTAATAAATTACAAATTAGTATATTCGTGGTGCTGTATCACCATCACTCTTTTGGTCTTTTCAATTCTGAGGTGCTAACTAAAACTATGCATGGTGATGCAGATTGAAGAAGACAGTAAGATAGGCTCAGCAAGTGAAATTGCAGAAGCAGTTGATCAAATATTTAGCTCCATTAATGGCATCTAAAGCTCACTGGCTTGAACAATAGGGAGTGGGTAGCATAGCAGCGGAATAAAGGACGAAACTTTGCAAGACACATGGTAGAATAGAATGGCTGGGAAACGGGGAACACCGGGCAACCCTCCGTATCCATGTGGGTGGCTTAGACAAGGAAGAGATACAGGGTACAGAAGAAGATGGCATGTCATATCATATTCGCTGCTCAATTTGTTTCTTTTAATTTGATTAGAATCATTATAATATTGTATAATATATGTGCTTATTTAGTTTTTTCTTAGATATAGCTAGAGCATGGGTTACTGGTTGGGAATGGATGTGATATCGTGGAGATAGAGTGTAGGGCCCAACATGTCTCCCTGAAAAGGGTGTCCCACTTTGGAAAATTTGGAATTCTCATCATTACATAGAAGGAAATGATGCTCCTCTTTTTATGTTGACTTTGCGCGATGTCCGTATACTATGAAAGATGTTTCATCATTATATTTGTGCACACTTTCTGTTTGGTTCTTTTTGGCCTTGAGTTCACAGCAGCATGATTCAATTTGTTGGTCTCCAATAAATAGATAACTGAGTAATCAAAGCTAATCAAGAGAAGATCTTCAACCAGTAAACTGAATTGCAACCAGAGATGTCTTAAGTTACAGCTATTACCCAAATTAATCAAGTCATTTGTTGTGATGCCAAGACAAGTTATAAAAAAATTTAGTTGTGCATCCTTTTAAGAGTTATATGTGGATGACAATCTGCTTAAGTGATTTAGCATTGAAGATTTATATGGTTCCAGTCTTGCACTTCCAGAAAGTTTAACATAGATATTATAATTAAAGGAATAGGTTATATTAACTATCATTTTTTTTTCTTAGAATCTCTTATTATCAATTTTATTATTGTTGAATCAAAATTAAATAAACAAAACGGTCATTAATTTTATTTTGATCAATGATAATAAAATTAATAATAAGATATGGTAAAAAAAATAAAAATAAGTGTAATCTCGTTCATAATTAAATTGTAACAAATTACCACACAAAAAAATTGTAACAAAATACACTTAAAATAAAATATATATTGTGACTCTGATAATGGAAGTTGTAAGTTATAGTGTGAACACCGCCTCTAAAATCCAAGTTCTTCTAGAAAAGACAGATTTTACAATGGTAATTCTCTTGGAATAATATCGAACTGGCGCTACCTATAACGATTAAGACAGCTGAAAACGACATAACCGGTATCTCTAAATATTTAGAGAACCTAAAGTCAATATATACGAGTTATTTAAATATTATCATAATTTTTAATGAAAAAAATGTGTGTCATTTAAAAAAAATGATGAATTTACCAAAAGAAAAGAAAAGAAAAGAAAGGGATGTAAATTTTTGTTATTTAAAAGAGAGTGGACAGAAAAAATAAAAGTGTGGGTGCTATTTCTTTATGAGAGTGAAATGACACAAGTTGTGTCATTTAAAAAATAAACATTTTTTTCATTTTTAATGTGTCTGAGAGGAAGCTCCCTTGGCAATGGAATGAGGCGGAGAAAATTAGAGTATTTCTCTGGCTCCTCCTTCACAACAAGGTGCTAACCAACGAGCAGAGAATGAGTATAGGCATGAGTGACATTGCCAACTGCCCTAGATGCAACGCTCAAGTAGAAAGCAGCCTGCACGTGATCAGAGGTTGTGTCTGGGCGTATAGAGTGTGGAAGGTTATTCTAGGATCGGAGATCTTTGATTCTTTCTTCAGTCTCTCATTGGATAGGTGGCTAGAGGTTAACCTTGGGATAGGTTATAGTAACCTGGAAGATCTTAGAAGGATCACATTTGGAGTCAGTTGTTGGTGCATCTGGCTTGATAGGAACGATTTTATATTCAATGGGAAAGCCCCTAATACCCACTGCACCTTAATTCGGATCAAGAACTTTGTGAAAAGTATCATCACGACTGAGAACATGCACGTTGCGGCTAATATCATTTCTAGGAAGAGATCAGAAAGCTTCATCTGCTGGAAATACCCCAAGGTGGGGTGGATGGAAATTAATACGGATGGCTCGAGTACCCTTGACGGCAGCAGCACCTCTTGCGGAGGAGTGATCCGTGATGATGGAGGTAGCTAGATAGTGGAATTTAGATGTTTTACTGGGCAAGGAAACGCGTTAATAGTAGAATTGAAAGGTGTATAATACGACCTTGGCCTTGGCCTTGCTTGGGATAGAGGCTTAAGAAGCGTTTGTATCGAAAGTGACTCCACTACTGCTGTGCATCTTGCGAAGGAAGGGTGTAATGATAGCCACCCCTTATGTACTCTGATCAAGAGAATTAAAAACCTAGTTAGGAAAGACTGGAGAGTCGAATTTACTCATACATATAGAGAGGGTAATGCTGTAGCCGATTGGTTAGCATCCTCCTTCAATGATCAAAATTGGGAGTTAGAGATTTTGGAATGCCCTCCTATGGAGTGCAACCAAATTCTTTTGAAGGACCAGATGGGGGTAGCCTCCCCCAGAATGGTCGGAGTTTGGTTTCTGTTTTCTGTTGGTTGTCTTTTGTAATTTTTCTTTTTTATCCAAAAAAAAGGTGTCTGAAGGTATGTTATATATATATATATATATGTATATATGAGGCATGTTATATTTACAAACTTCTTTGTTTACAAACTCTTGCAAACTACATTATGTTCTCCCGGGAGAACACTCGTTTCACTATGTTCTCCCGGGAGAACATAGTGTAATTTGTAAAACAAATTCAAAAAAATTTATAAACGGATACTTCCCCTATATTTATATACACACGCGGAGGAATCTTTGTTTTCTCAAATTTAAACTTTAATTTTCTGAAATTCAGAAGTATTTGTTATTAGAAGAAGGTTATCAATCAACGGGTAAGTATTTTTGTAAATTAAATTTATTAATTAAATATTAATTCATAAAAATGATAATCGTTGATTGACGAAAATTAATGGTTAAGATATAATTATAAGAGATTGTAAACGAAAATAGATGATAAGTATAACCTCCGTACTGTTATTATTTTGTAATAGTTGACATAATACTGTCGTTCTTATTTCCACAATCCATACGCTATTGACAGCGCATTTTTATCTGTTGAATAATTAAGAATTTTTATTTACAAAACACCGTTGAAACTTGAAAATAATAATGTTTTGATAAGAAACAGAGTATACGTCAATCATGCTGCTCCTTATAGTTACATATATTAAAAAAAGAAATACTTCTGAAATGGATAAAGTGGATTGTTCTAATTTGAGCAGTTCATAATAGCATTGTTGTTTGTATTTTTCTTCTCGTCTTGCAATTCGCGTAAACGACTCAAGATAGTTGAGGCCAAAGTAAAGACAGCAAGCCATATCAAGTGAGACACAAAATGCACCCTCCTCGAAACCAATGACGGATTTGAAAAATGAATTTTCGCAACCAAAAGGTTCGTGCATTTGTTGCCCAGTTGCAACAATTCAAGAAAATGTTGACAAGAAGGCTTTCTGAACATGGAAAAGAGTCAAATTTAATAATATCAGGGCAATCCAATACATAGTCTGAGAGGAAATTCATATGTAGCATAGCAGTAGGACACAAATATATTTGTCTCTCTCACAAGTACAGGAAGAAAGAGAGCAACAAATATAAATAAAAAGAAAGCACTCATCCCAATGTACAAAGTGTCTAAGAGGTACAAATCCACCCTCTCCCCTTCCTTCCCTTTTCTGCCAAATACCAGCCTTTAGAGTCCTTTTCATTTTTGGTTCTCGAGTTGCTGGTGTTCCTCTTTTCCATTGTTGCTGTCTTTCCGCTTAGCTTTTCTCTTCCTTCCTTCTTTTCCTTTTCTTTTCTGTCTCCAATGGGAGGGAAGGTCTTGTCTCAATTGAGCATTCATAAAGCGCTATGAGGCCACTTCTCCACTCTCCACTCATCATTACAACCTTTGCTTCTACTTTCCATAGTCCAAAACCCATATCAAATTTGGGATGGTAATTGCAAGTTTTTTTTTTTTTTTTTCATTTTTACTTAATCGCCATTTAATAGTCAAATACTCAAATCTATAACGTCACTTTTATTATAGATTTTTTTCTTATTAATCACTTGCTTAATCTAAATCGGTAACTGATTCAAACACACGAGATGAGAGCTCCCCTGCTTTAATAACATGGTAATGATCATCAAATCATGAGTTTGAGGACATAATAGAGCCACTTTCGATCCAATTATTCTCTCTCTATTCGAACGTGCGCAACAGAAAAAATTTACATGCATGGTTGCTTGAAAATGTCATTTTTATTTTTTTTGGTGTGGTAGAAAATGTCATTATTTTCTCTTTTAATTGCTGAAGTGTTTCTTTATTGAATCACCGACATCGCTCGTTTCTGATGCACATAGTCTCACTGTGAGAGTTCGAGTGAATAAATTCAAACATTCAAAGAATATGATCTTAATTAGATTTATGCTGACAAATAAGATTTAGAATATATTTTGAGGAACAACAAAGTGGGCACAGTTGGCTAAGGGTTTAGTCCATACTCCTCAGGAGCGTGGGTTCAAACTCCGCCGATGTGAAGACTTTGTTGGTGGGTGATATGTAATTCCTCCCAAAAAAATTTCAAAGAGGTTGGGGTCTTCCCTGATTCTAGTGAAATACTGGTCTCTAACTCCACTTAAATTTTTTGTAACCGAAATATATATATATATATATATATATATATATATTGAGGTTGATTGATTATTAAATTTTCATTTGAATAATTTTTAATTATTAGGGTTGACTTAATTTTAATTATTATTTTTATTTTAAGTGCGTTTAATGATGATTATTTTGTAATTAGTTATTTTTATTTACGGGGAAGTTTTTTTTTTAGAGGGGTTAAATATTTATTGATTGTAAAGTCAATTTTGTCCTTTTTTCAGGCATTATTAATTCTGACTGAATTTCAATTCTCATTAGTTTATAATTGGCCTATAAAAAAAGGTTTTAAGACTTACATTATAAGATAATTGATTTTATTATTATTTTAATAATTAAATTGAGAACAAGATTTTTTTTTTCAAAAACCCAATTCTTCTGTTTAACTTTTTGATTTTTTTCCTCGATTCGGCA